GACAATCTGCGGATGTAAGAAAGCAAAAGAGTAGATACCAAATCAATAGCGCTTGCCGCACACAGCATTTGATACTTGGTTTCGCAGTTGTTCAGCATGCTTCTTAACATACATTGACTCTCATTACCGCCTATGCCCCCATTTTTACGAATCCGCCTTTGTATAATCCACCGAGAGCTGAGATGACGATGGAAATTACCGGATGTGCTGCAAGTGTCAACCGGCCTTTGGTATACATGTCTTCGTCTGCCGTTAGCTTGCAAGGGCAATGGAGAGGTCTACGAAATATCGACCTTACTTAACGTACCGAAGAGACTAATATCATTCTTTGCTCGATATCCTCCAGCGCTTTCGGCGTTGAGACATCAAAGACCACAATCCTCTTCTTCCCGTGTTGCTAGCCATACATCGCGATACAAGGTCCAATCAGCTTTCCAGTCACTCGATAAACAAAGGAGGTTGCTCCATCCATACATATCCCAATCACACTACGATGCCTTTAGAAAATTTGGGAGACTGTTTCCAGTCAAGTGTGGCAACGCAAAAGTGCGAAACTTGGAAATGCCAATCCAGCTCTTAAGCCTTACACCACTCCTACAGCCCTGGCGGTTCATATACATCATGTGCCTCTGCGTATGTCCGTAGTCCCAATAGACGAGCAGATACACGGTCCACGACTCGCTATAGAGGGGATCGTCAGTACGCAGCGCACTATACACGTGCATGTTGAATCACTCTGGGAAGCGAGAAAGAGTACAAATGGGGAAAAATTCGAGAACACACAGGGGCTAACAGCGCGCAAGGGGACCAAAGACATCGAATATCAAGATGAATCTGGATGCACAAGGCAAGAGCCACTCCAAAGCTATACTTCCATAGTGATGGCCTCTGAACCCAACCCTTGCGGGCTGGACTTCTTACGAAACTCGGATTTGAAGGACGATCATCGTTGTACGTGCGCTCGACCGATAGTCATAACGTGGTGACTTTGCGGCCATATATATCGGCATTATGTTATGAATTCTTCTTTTTTCTTTCTCATGATGACGGTTGGCTGATGGAATATCTTATGGTGGCGCTAAGATCTTTGTCTGAATATCTCTTTTGTATGGTAGTAGTGGTACAGCTAGGTCACATCACATAGTCGATATTGATGGACCTGGAGCTACAACATCTCGTCTGGATCAGCAACTAATTCAAGTTCGATGATCCTTTACTTTTCCTGCAAGGCAAACACGTCTTCTCAATACCTTTTTCCTTTTACGCCGACCCAGCCGACATTAGCACAGAACTGCAACGGGCGTCTGGACGAATCCGAACTGTTGCAGAAGCCTTCTAGAAGCAAAGGTAAGCGACTCCGGATCTGCAAAACCAGGTGCATGGGCAAAAATCCGGATGCATCGGAGCTGCATGTCAGCAAACATGAGGCTCTCGATGCCGATGAAACCCCTCATGAGCACTCGACTTGCAAACTCAATCCTGCGGTCTCATGCGACCGTACTGGCCCCAACAGGACGGTTCCAAATATCGCGGTAAAATGTCATGGATAGCGGGCCGAAGGGCAGAATGCAAAATGGGACACGAGTGCCGAGACGCAAGGTTTAGTCGTCAGACAAGGCTGAAGCGACTCGAGCAACTTTCCACGAACGGAAGGCCAGAAAGCATATTGCGCATGATCGGGCGCAGCGCTTGGCTGGCTGAGTAGGATCGCGATGGATGGCATTGGGGCCTCGGCCAAGAGCCCTTTTCTAGGGTAAAAGTAAGGCAAGCGGGTCGTGCGCAGATACTCATCAAAAGAAGGTTGTCCTCAAAGCATAGAGAGATAGAGAGTTGAGGTTACTCTAGTCGCTTAATCAAGACGTTGTATTTCGTGTTTCGAGTCGTGCCGTCCCATAGGGGTAGTGTGTTTGTCCATGCTGCAGGAGCGCCTGTGCGCACATGGGGCATTTGTGCAGCTCATATCCCCCGAAAGGTATTCACGTCCATCTCCCGCGGACGCGTCGAAGGGTAACACGCCAGCCGTCGGCGGGCGCACGTAATGATTTGTTGTGCGACCGTGCGCGGAGGCGTTCAGTAGCCCAGCTATATTGGGGGCAAGCGGGCCATTGTTGTGCGCTCGGATAACCCGATGTTTGAAGCTTGCGTGAGATTGAACGTAGAGTGTTCAGAGCGTATCATGTTAGTGAGATTCAGTATTTCGCTTCGCAACGGAGGTTTTGAAGCCGGAGGGAACCTGGTTAGGAGAACCTGGTGCTGATGATCCCCAGGTCTTTTCCTGGGGGACAATCCGGAGCTAGCGCAGATCAGAGAATAATCAGATTCAGCAGCACCGCAGTCGCGCCGTGACATGGAGCGAAGACACAAGGACGGCAACAACACGATGCCGTTAACAAAATCACGGCTTGCTTCTTATGCGTGTGCAATCAACCGGTCTTTTTCCACAAGTTCCCGCAAGCCTTCCAGAGGCTTTCTCCAACCACGACCCGAGTTTGGACCATCATATTAACCGAAAGAACCAAAAGGAAGGGCTCCTCGTGGCCCAGCCGAAGCCACTGACCTCCTCCATTGGTGCCTAGACTTTTCGAGACTCGAGATACAGTATTGCCGGTCGTGCCGCATGTCGGTCTTAGGGTCGGTCGCATGCATGGTTGCATGCCTGTCAGATGACGCTTCCTCGGACTGTTCCCCTCTTCCAGATAGATGGCGAGTTTGATGTTGACTGAGATTAGTGTGCAGAGCACATATTTACAAACTTGTCTAATGTCAAAGGTGACAAGGCGGTGGTCGAAGACGCCATAGAAGCCTTTGGCGTCCCCTCGCACCGGCTCTAACAAGTCTCACATAGAAGCCGCTGTAACGCTTGCGGGCTAGCAACCGTCTTCCCATGCAGCGGCTAGGGCCATGGATGCCACGAGCGACGCTAACGTCAATCTGTGGAGACTGGGATCATCGCTCTTGTCCTCTCCCCAGCTTATAGTGGATCCTAGATTACAAAGGTCCTTGTCGTGTGTTGACGGGCCCTCTCAGCACGCTGGAACCCTTCAGTCAATCGTACATCATCGTTGTTTGCCCCCCAGGGAGTGCCCTAAGATCTGCTCTGTACCTGCGCTGGTGCTAGGTCGAACGCCATATTTTTACTTTACTTCGCCTACGATATTTTTATGATTTCTGGTTCGATATGATAGTTCCCAGCAGCCACAGGAGTCTTTCTTTTTAGGTGTAACCTATATACCCTCCGAAACATTGCTGGATCAATAGTTCGTCGCCTGCAATGCCCATTCATCAGGAGCCCTTGGACGCGGAGTCGGCCTCGTTTGTACTACCGGACCATATTCACCCGTGGCTGCGCTCAGTCGTCGTTCTGGGATTCATCAGCTTCTTCGCATCGGTATCATTACTCTTCTTACTGACTTACAAACTGGTATCCTGGCAATTGCGATCGAAGCGAAGCAACCAATTCGTCATTCTGATATTCAACCTTCTGTGGGCGGATATTCAACAAGCACTTGCATTCCTACTAAACGTCGAATGGCTGCGACTGGGATCCGTCGACGTCGAAAATCCAATATGCTTTGCGCAGGGCTGGCTGGTATCTACAGGTGATCTGGGAAGTGGAGTCTGGTGCTTTGTTATCGGATTACATACCTTTGCCTCAATCATCTTGAATTTCCGTCTGAAGCCACGGAGCTTCTACTTTTGCATCTTCCTGCTCTGGGTTTTCATCCTTGGGGTATCTTCAATCCCCCTTGGTATGTACGGAGAAAGCATCTACGTACGGTCTGGAGTATGGTGTTGGATTCATCATGACCTCGAAGACCTACGATTGTGGACACAGTAAGTAAAGTCGCATCACAAACTGCATGTGAGATATATACTGACTTCTCAAACCAATGTTTAGCTACGTCTGGATCTTCATTTTCGAATTCGGCAACGTCCTCATTTACGCCATAATCTACACAATTTTGTCAATCCGCATTCGATCCGGCTACTACACAACCGAAGAAGCTAAACGTGTACGCTCCATCGCAAACCTTATGGTCGTATATCCGCTCGTCTACGTCGTCTGCACCATCCCGTTGGCTTCCGCACGAATGGCGTCAATGTCCGGTAACCCACCGTCGCTTGCTCGTCTTTGCCTCTCTGGTGCCATGATCGTCTCGAATGGCTGGCTTGACGTACTCTTGTATACTTGCACTCGACGCATCATGATCTTTTCTGATGAACCACCCTCTGATGTCGATGGCATAGATACTTTCGCAGCGTTCTGGATCGAGAAGCCTAAGCGCTTTGGAGGCGAATGTACAATCGAAGCGATGAATACACACACAAGGGGTCGACGATCAAAAAGCAAGGTAACACTACCATCGGGAAGCGAAAGTTCAGACGATCTTTGTGGGATCGGTTCGAATGACATCAAGTTGGTCACTACAACAAGGGTCATCAGCGAGCCGGCACAGCCAGAGGATTTCGAGGAGATGGAGGCTGAGGCGCGTGTGGTACGACCTCGCACGCCAACGACAAGATGGAGCCAGGATACAAGCGATACGAACGGAAGTCGCAATTTGAGTTTGAAGGAGCTGGCGATACCCCACGTTGCGCACTGAGAGCCTACTTGGAATGTGAACGAAATGCTATCATCACGACATAGATCCACTGACTATGTGTACATGAGACATGTGCCCAGGACCCAAAATCCTGCACCTACTACGGCGGTCTAAGAGGGGCAGCAAGAAATCTACTAAAGCAGGGTATATCTAAAGACTGATTATAAGTCCTGCGACGACGCGAAAGACAGACTGCCTTCGAGGCAACAAGGTAGAGGGTGACTACCTCCACTAGAAATGCCGCTGCCGCCATAGCGCGACATACATACGGAGAAGGGGTTCCGCCCATGCACATAGACTAATAGACGAGAGTTACGAATTCATAATTCAAAAGATGCGCATTTACATTCTTGAGGCCTCTCTTTATCACATGTAGGCTGGGTACGACTCTGCAACTCAGTGATCAGTCGACGTCCCGTTCGTCAAGAATGCAGCCAACCTCGCCCCAAACTCCAGAGTGTATGCCGAATCGACGAACTCGTCGAATTGTCTAACTTGCGTACCATCCTCTGTAAAGGTTAGTATAAGTGCATATTCATTCCCGTACGGACCGATCGGCGTCGACGCTGTACTGCGTGCATGTATGATACAAGTGTGCGCCTCGGGGTCATGCGTCTCTTGGAAGACTGTGGCCTGTAACCAGATGAGTCAGTCGCCCTATCGCATCTCTTTGAGAGAATGATTCGTACTGTGAAATTGATGTACAAAGGCTCAATAGTTTCAAAGTATGCGCGGTACTCGTCGTTACTCTTAGGTGAGCGGTTAAGAGCAGCGGGTAGGATTTGTTGCTTGCAGTCCGGAGTTCGGTATGCGAGAATCTTTTCGATATCCCAGACGTTGTATGCATCGATGACCTCTTTGGCAACAACTTTCTGAGCTTCGAGACTGTGTGTAATTGTCAGGATGTATCGGGCGAGATACGGTTTCCACAGTCTACGTTGTAGTTGGTAGCTGGAACTCACTTGGCCTGGGGAACGACTTCGGCATTAACTAGACATTTGTTCAAGTTCAGACCTATCCAGATGTCGCTGGTAGCTAAAGTTTCGGAACTCGGGAGAGATGTGGCAGTAGCGAGGACGCATATGGTCGTCGTGAGAAGGATAGTAGATGTCTTCATGATGCCGAGTAGACTTGAGTGTCAGGCTACTGTGGAATCGTCTTGGAGGTAGATGTAGAATAGAACATATTACCTATAGTAATATCAGAGTTCAAATACTCTCAACAGCTCACTACCGAAGCACATCATCCACAATCCTTCGAACACCAATGCTTATTGAGGCGTGACAATACCATAATGTCGGTGTCGAAGGGATAAAGTACCTGGCTTGCTAACCACTCTCGAGCATCTCGGCATCCTTCCCGCACCGTCGAAAAGAGGAAACAATAAGATGGCTGCCAAAGGGTGACCCGTCTCTAATCGATTTCCTGCCTCGACTCCAACATTCACACAAACTTTCAAGGCTAGGAGCTTAGAAGAAGAGGAAATTACCTTCCAAAAGTGTTTGACTGAAAGTAGCTGTCATGCTGTACATCGGCTGGTTAGTTGGTATCGCCAAGGTAAAGTAGGGAGACTTCCTATCTAGGAACATGTGCTCACCGCATGTTCTGAAAATTGGTCATACGGTTAACTCGCTTCCGAGAACTGAACGAAGCACAGTATGGTACGAAAATCAACATGGACAGATCGCAGAGCACCTACCAAAGCAGACATGACGATCCCATCGCGGCTGGTAACCCACCCATCATGTACATGACAAGTCTTCTGTACTGGGAAGATTTTGCTTCGAAGGCATTCGCAATATTTTACCTTGAGAAGCTTATAAGATGGAAGATAATGTATTCTTCTGCCTGGGGTATTCTTTACAGCTCATGAAATAGAGAAGCTTCGTTGTCATTAATTCTTAAACGTTTCGTGCATGTCGTTTCCTCTAAGACCAAAACTGGCAATGCCTTCATTCCCCTTGCTCTTTTCCATGTCCACCTTCCATGAGTATGTATAGGTTTCCTCGTAACACCAACACCGCCATATGTGCAACGTCAGGTCCATATCAACATGGTCAGGTCGCGAGGCGGAGTATTGTGAATACACGACGGTAGACTGAGCAATTGAAAGAACTAATCAAACGATGTTAGTCCGATGCAAGACTAGCTCGTGCCGTTGACAGCCGCTTGGAACGAATGTAAGCACAGCGACTTAGATGGCGAGCCAAGACAAAGTCGCAAACTACGCAATCCCTTTTAAGCACAGAGTTCTGAGTTGAGTGGGTATAGCTGGGCCCCCATACCCCTGCTCAGTTCACATGCTTACCCATTCCATCCAAGCCTGAAGGAACCCCAGCCTGCCCTGCCTCATGTGCTCCGCAAACTCCTCAAAGTTGATGAGACCGCTTCCTTTCCGTTCGTTGATCTCCTGCTCGACAGCCTCAAGACTGGCCAGCATGGTAAGATGAAGGCGTGATCTTGGGTCCATAGCGAGCTGACGTATCGAGCGTTGCAACGGCTTAAGTTGATTCGTCTCAGTATAATGTGGGTTTGTGGAATGATTGATCTGGTTGCGCGCGCATATGATAGTGTCCACACCTTCAATGTTTTGAATGAGGAGACAGTGGATTTCGGGGTTGTCGGTGTACCATCGCCAGTTGATCGCATACAGGCCATCTTCTGCTCCTTGCTGTGCTGTCGAAGAGCTGAGCTGTGGAGCTTCTTCGGAGGAATCAGTAGTGTCATGAGCCGGAGAATCGCTTTCGCCGGCATATCTTCGCTCTGGGTAGTCTTCTAGGCCGTCGTGGTCTGCGGTCGCAAAAAAACAACGATTCAGATCCGTCCCTTCGTCTGAGGGAAGCGAGGATGTATCAGTATCGGAGGCAACACTGGTCTTTGAGGAGCTATCCGAGGCAGTCCGCAAGGCTGTCGGTGACGGTTCATCGGATGAGTCTGGCCGGAATTGGGGCATGGTGGGATCCCTGTAAGTACCAGCCGGACTTCCATTCAATGCAGGTGGTGCCAGCCATCCTTTATTGTGTACACATTCCACGATAGCATTAAGGACTTCTTCTCGAAGCTGGCACTTGATCAGCAACGTGTTCCACATTGTCATGTTGTCGACGTTGGTATTTCTGGATATCTTCACGGTTTCAAGTACCCTCTCTTCAACATCATCGTAGATCTCTTGGAGTATTGCGCATGCCTCTCGCTCGGTATATGGTTTACCGTTAATATTACTGATGAACAGGTTTCTGACGTGTGGCCGTCCGTTGTTGAGTGTCCTGCAGAATCTGTCGATGATGCATTTCGAGAATCGAAAAACGCCAATCTGTACAATAGCTTCAACAGCAGCCTTACCGTCCGTGAAGTGGTGCATGGTCAGCGCGTCGATTGAGGCTGCTCTGGCTCGACGCTCGTTGCGCTTCTCATGTGCGTCCATGGCCATGTCCTCTTTCTCTAGGAAAAGCGGGTTGAGTAGTTCGTTGAACCCCTGTTGTGTAACCTGATATAGTACCTCTTTGCCAAGGTCTTGTTCAGGTTCAGGAATTTCATAACCACCCCATCGCTCTCCGACGGGCCTGGATGAAGAGGCATTGGAGCGCGTGTCTATGTCCACGTCATCCTGGAAGCGGACCCTCGAGGATGACCGTGAGCTCCTGTTGCGGGTCCAATTCTCGTTTATGTATGCGTTTTCAGCGTTGTCGTTCACCCCATTGACGGCCCCCAACTCGTCAGCATCTGACTCCTCGAAACCTTCAGGCCGTGTTAGACCCTCTTCTTCGTCAATGTAGTATTGTCTGCGGGCCCATCTCTGGGTGATGATGTCGTTTTGTTGTTCGTTCGGCGTCCGCGGAGAATACGTGGGTTCGGTATGGTGAAGACCTGTCGTCCATATTATCTCAGCCCTATCAGCCTCGTCGCTGTTCTGCTCAAGCAGCGGGAGAGCTGTAGTTACATCTTCTTCTCTCTTCTGCCGTAGGCGGGGATTGTTCGTGTTCGATGCAGCCATACTGCGGGGCGGAAATGCAGAGCCCAGGGGCTGGCTAGAGCGAATCGTGTCCAAAGCTGACCGCACAGTTACTTCGTCTGACAGCTCCGAGATGTAGTTTCTTGTAGCTTCCTTCTCGATTGCATAGTATGCTCTGAATATGCGTAGGATGTCCCTGCGCGATATATAGCCATCTCCGTCGATGTCGTATCCATTGAAGACTATTCTGGCCTTGACATCAGCATCAGTGTCGTGCATGCCGTCGAGGCCTTTGACCCACTCATCGAACCCGATGAGCCCATTCTTATCCGTATCATAGTATGCGAAGATACGGTCGTAGACGAGGTTCGGTGCGGCGACGAAGCCATTGTAGCGAGGCACGAATGCGTGATTAAAGTCGCGTCGATCGATGGCCCATCCTACCCCATTGGTATCCGCTGCCCACTCGGCCCCTGCGAGACAAGTAAACTGGTCCCACAAGGCCTCAATCTCCTCTGCTTCCATCTTGGTTTCGGCTACGAGGCGTCTCTTGAGTGCTGGATCGATTGAGGGACTCATCATGTGAGGCTTGCCAGGATAGAGGGGCTCTTGCTTTGGGAGACTCAGGTATGGCGCAGGCACGCGAATCTTGTAGAAGATGTGGTTTTTGTAATGCGAATTGGTTGCTTCGCAGTTGGAGCACAGATCGAAGTCTGGACAGTTGGCGCAGTGCCACCTGGTTCCTCGAATAGGCTTCTCGTCGCACCCGTTGCATGTAATGCCACGATGTATAACGCCCTCCAGCCTCGCGCGGTCCTCTGCAATGTGGTACAAGGTGCGCTGAAGGGTCTGGCCTTCGGGATCAATAGCATCATCCGCGTCCTCGTCGCTTCCCAAGGACAAATCTGTAGCTGCAATGCTCTCAGCATCATCGAGAGCAAGGCTGTCGCCGGGAGGGAATATCTGCGCATGCCTTGCCACGGCGCGGGCTATCTGGGCACGATCCAGTACCGTGATGTTCGGATTGCGGGCGTTCAGCCAAGTTGCGACACTGTCCGCCTGTGATGAGGACAGGGCTCGATCGGGGTAGAGTATGACCAGCAGTCGATCGAGGAACTCGTTGTATAGGCTTGTTATGGCATTTTCGATTACGATATGTTGGGCGTCTGGCTGCGCGCTTAGGATGATGTCGCGCAGCTCTGTTGGGGTGACGAGGCTGCGAGGGTCGAGGGGCACTTCGGTACCGAGTAAATCGTATCGGCCCAGAAAGGGTATGTCGCGCTCGTTCAGTGGGAGGGTAGGTGCTGGCGGTGGTTCTCGTGGGCGCCGTCTGCGTACCGCGTTGCTGCGCTGGAGGCCATCGCCCGGGCCAGGGCTTTGGACCGTGTTGTAGATGAGATATGCCGCGTATCCAGCTGACACACCGGTGAGGAACAATATAGCGGGCGTATAGCGGGACACGGTAGAGGGCGTTGACGCCGTCATGCTAGAGCCGACTCAGACGAGCAGTGGCTGGTGAATGCGCAGTCCAAGTATGATAGAATAGAGGTTGAGAAGAACATGGTAGGTAGCGTCCTACCAAGAGTACTGCAATCACCCGTTTGACGTCTTCATGGCTTCGAAGGAACGATCAGACGCGCTCTGACCAGAATGCTTGTAACCCGTGGGCCCTCTTACCCACATTGCGACAATCGCGGCTGACTCAGCACCAAGCTCACGGACTTCCGAAGCTTCGCATTGGGCAGAACACCTTCACGCAACAAAGCCAGAGGACGCATGCTTTGAACATGGTAGTGCTGTATGACCACTCAACTATCTATTCTACCACGCAGCATGGCCGCCGTCCATTCTTAGGTCCGCCCCCGTCATGAACGAACTCGCATCGCTCAGCAAGAACACGGCTGCACCACGGTATTCCTCAGGCTTCGACAGACGACCCAACATGTTCTGTGTCGGCCACGTGTCTCTACGCTCTGGGTATTTCTTGAAGAGCTCCTCCACCATTGCAGTCACAATGTACCCTGGCGAGATTGTATTGACGCGGATGTTATGCTCGCCCCATTCTGACGCGAGGTTGCGCGCGAGCTGCATGACACCGGCTTTCGACGCGTTGTATGCCGAGCAGATGAGACCCTGTTGACTTGGTTAGCACAAGACATGGTAACGAGTCGAGGTAGTCGTACCCTATTTGCAACTGTACCAGACATGCTCGCGATGAGCACGATACTTCCGCCACTTCCAAACTTGATCATTTGCTTCGCAGCCGCTTGCGCAGTCATCATGACTCCCGTGATGTTGACTTCGAACATGCGGTTTGCATCCTCAGCAGTGTATTCCAACGCAGTTGTCTCTTGTTGGATGCCGGCCGCAGCAATCAGCCCGTCAAGTCTACCCTCCTTGTTGGCGATTTCCTCAACAATCTCATGGAGCTTCTTGACATCTCGCACGTCTATTTGGCGGTATTCGAGCGAAGTTCCGAGTTCGTTCTTTGCTTTCTCAGCAATTGGCGCAAAGTCTGCTGAGGGTTCCTCGAGTCTGTCAAGTGCGTATACTGTGGATCCGTGTTAGTTGTCTGTCCAAGCTCTCGACAGTCCAGCTCGTTGGAAAGACATACCTCGTGCGCCAGCTTCCAGCAATGCTTCGGCTTGTGTCAGACCGAGTCCTCGAGCAGCACCCGACACCAACACTACCTTCCCCGCTAGGCTAAACTCTGGAAGTCCTTGAGTCTTTGGCATGGTTTGGATCATTTGGACTCAATTGTGCAAGATCAAAGGTGGGGATATTATGAAAATCGGGGTATGCGCAAACAAGGTCGCTCAAAGTCAAGTATTTATACACAGAAAAGAAATGCGAGATCGGTTCGTAGAGTCGACGCAAACCGGGACCATTGTGGATTTTAAACCGGCCCCAGGCGGAGAGTCTGGTCACCGGACTTTCTTGGAGTAGGCCTGGCCTCGGACTGTCTTCCTCCATTGCATGCATGGCACGATTGTGGAAGACTCCAATACTCTTGTTTGCGGGGAAGCATACCGGCATCTTCGATGGATTGCCCGATTGGGCATACCGAAAGGCCCCCGCGGGGGATCTCTGGTATACTTTTTTGGAACGTCAACCACGTCGACCTTGCGTGGCTTGGACCAAGAGCCAGTAGGGTACCCGGCCTCGAGACGAGTGCGTTCGGCTCGGGCTCGGGACATGAATTTATTACGGCCGTGAAGTTTGGGATACGTGTTTGCATAGTATACTACCTTAGGTACCTAAGTCAACCAAAAATGCATCATCAGTTCGAGACACAAACCACTACGATAGTGACTTGTTCCTGTACAGCTTCGTTCCCAGAATGGTGCAGTACCATGCGCTCTTGGACCCTTTCATCACGCACAAGGCGCTTTTAGAAGGCCATGGATCTTTTCGCGCTTTTGCATCCAACCTACATACAACTTTGGAACTGTTCAACAGATGAACGCAGAGCTTGATGGAACACACAAAAGAGGAACTGCTTTATGACGGAAACATAGTGTCAGCATTAGATTGATGCTTACGCAATTGTCTTCCTGGCGAATCGCATCCTCAATGCATCATCTTGACTCAACCTGCAACAGCCTTGCCAACTGCGCCCTCTGCGCCCTCTCATCACATGAACCGCTGCGGGCCTGATCGCTCAGCAACCGCCTTGAAGACCGCCTAGGGCATAATTACACAATCACGCAATGGTACGTTGCCTGGAGTTTTGGTAGAATCCCGCGACCAAAAGGCACAGCTAAGCCCCAGCGTGATGTGCGCTGGTGTGGCACAGTCCTGTGTCGCGAAGCGCCGTCCAACAGCTTAACTGTAAGACTGAAGTACCAGATGCTGAAAGCGGACATCAACATGCGGCATTGAAACAAGAGATGCCTTGAATCATTAAAGATATGTCAATTATATTTGGAGATCTCCACCTGTTGTGCGCGTTCGAAAGGGGTGCTGTCGCGGGTCACAGGCATGGCGGTCGGCCCTCGCGACTCCCACGCTGCAAGCGTCACCATTACCTAGGTATCATCAACTCATACGATAGAAGGTTTTTCCATTCATTGTACTCAACACATAACCTCACAAAGGATGAGGTTGCCAAATGGCCATACAGTGCGCCTCGCATGGACTGGGACGCCAAAAGCCGCCCGACAAGGCTGACCCAAGGCCCCAACGTGCGGGGCAGTGCATGCAGATGATTAGAGGCGCCCGCAAAGCCATCGTCCAACGGGAACCGCAAGATGAGACCCGCCTTGATGCCTGAGGAGAGCACAGGTAGGAGTGTCTCTCTCAAGTTGATTGAGGCGTTGTTGAGGATGCATGGGATCCTTGAAGTCGCGAATATCTTGTGAGGCTGCTGCGCCTTAGGCCGGCGAATGGGTTTGTTGTGTATGTGGACTGAACTGATTGATTAAGATAGCGAGGTCGCAAAAAGAGATATGTAGTAGGTAGGTTCGCGCTTCGAGGCCATATTCCGTATACAAGTCCATCATTTGGTACTTCTTTGCTCTTCACACATCGCATACAAAACATCATCACATAACACACAGCCAGCCACTTCACTCAATGGCACCACACACTCTCACCCTAGACGACTCGCTTACACTCTTGAGACGTTCAGAGTACTGCGAAACAGCCTACGACTCTTCCTGCAAAACGCACCGCACCATCATCCTCGTCATCATCATTTTCGTCGGTGCCTTTGTCGGCGTCGTACTCAGCTTGGTGTACGTGCGAAGCCGCAGCCGCAGATACGCTCGAGAACGCGCTGTGCGCGCCAACGGTGGGCTGGGAAATGGGCTCAAAGTGCTCGGAACTGAAGACGGCGTGGCGACAGTGAGATTACCGTCTGGAAGGACGATCAGGGGGAAGACGGGGGGTTGGGATGAGAGAGGCGCATTCGAGGCGCCACCACCACCATATATGCCGAGAGTACCTGAGGTTGCTAGAGTGTACCGTTGAGAGAAGTGAGCCAGTGTCCACAAGAGAGGATGTTTGCCGTTGTCGAGGAGCTGGCAACAAGGACGCTGTGTGCTCTCATCGAGTTCGTCGACTCATTACAGCGCCACTTCCCAGAGGCAAAGTGAGAATGCATCCACGGCCAAGAACAACTATTGAACTCCGCAACAAGCCCGTGGCCCCTATACTTCCACGATCGCTACCAGGACGAGCCTTCTGAGACTGCGGGGAGCTTCGCAAACGAGACCTACCCTCCGCCTCTCCGTGCATGTAGCAGCGGCTATGCGTGTATCGTAACGAAGACTACGATGCCATCAGTTGCAGAAGGTGGCACCAAGAGTGTGGCAATGGAGGTACGGAAAATCATAGCAGTCCCTACGTTGGGTTCACCTATATCAATTCCCTAGATTTCCAATATCATCATGAAAATTCCCCATCGAAGAAAGAACGAACGCCACTCTCTACCAACCCCTTCTCGCTATATAGATGACCAGTCTTGCCAGTCCGCTTCTGTCTTCTTATCAAGCGCCCTGCAAGCCAAGGCCTACTCCATCTCCGTTGCCCATGGCACCATCGTCTCTGCTTCTGTCTCTTCCTCTACCCATTTCCCTGATTCTGCGGCCCTCCATAAGGCCCCTCAGTCCTCGCTTTTGTAGCCCAACTACTGCACTCATCTCCCCATTCCATGTCTCTCGGTCTTCGATGCCACTTCCATCTCCAAATCCGCTATCAGATGCTGAAGCTGATGTTGCTTCAGACGCCGCTGAGCTGACTTCGTCATCGTGATTCCGATCTACATCAGTGTTGACGCGGAGTGCGCGAAGGCCAGCATCCAGGCTCCGTTCTACGTCGGCAACTGTAGTATTGTTGCTTGAAACAGAGGTTGAGAAGCCATTCGTTGTTCCGTTCGTGCCTGACACGCCGTTGACACCCTTGAACGCGATACCGGAGCCGCCGCCAGCCGCCATGGCTGCAGCGTTGAAGATTGCCGCAGTGTTTCTGTTGTCTAATAAGATGTGAAGTCTCTCGATGATCGCTTCCAGTAAGCCGTCGATGTGGTATGGTCGCGCCAGCTGAAGTAGAGAACAAAGAATCTGCGGTGAGCATAGGGGTGAGTTATGTGGTGGTAGTGATGATGTGTATAGGAAATGTATAAGGGCTTGAAGTGTAAGATGTGTGTGTGGGAGGAATAATGTTCGAGGCCGTTGCGATGGCGAGTGCGATGAAGGTTCTGGGGGGCTCAGTGAGGAATAGGAGTTCGCTGATACGGCTGTGGCCTCGGATGGCGTTATAGTGTTGGCGGTGAGTGTTGTTGCGGTTGAGTAAGTTGTCCTGATAGAAGGTGTAATGGTGATGCTCGAGTTCCTTGATGGATGCATTGTGGCAGTAGGTCGTAGAGTCGCTGCCTCAGCATTTTCTTTCTCCGCGCTTTGGGCACTCTCGCGGAGCAGCTGATTGAAATAGGGGCCCCAGCGTCGAGCAATAATGTGAGAGTTAACGGGGATGCGCTCGCCGTGTAAGGCTAGGAAATCCATGTCCGCAAGTTCTCGCATGCCTAAAGCCAGCTGACCTAGCTCGGTGGCCGCGGGTAATAACGTGCGACCACCTGCAAGCATATCAAGTCGATCGTGCTGGGGCGGTGCGCTTATAGAGCTGAATCCCGATGCTGGTGTTACTTTGCGTGGATTATCGTAGAGTCCAAATGCCTCTAGTTCAACCACGCACATGTTCGAGAAATTGATGCGCCGATGATTGTAGTCTTCAACCAGACTTCTCTTGCGATTTCCAAGAATAACGAAGCTATTTCGACGGTTCCACAACACTCCTCTGTTCCAGCTACCCTGGCTGAAGATGTTACCACCAGCTTCGATGCGGCCCCAACTTAGTGTTCGCAAGTCGAGAGCCCATAAAGCATATTCTTGTTTTGAGGAGGTCAAAAATGTACCGCTTACTACAAAGTGGTTGTTTATGACACCGCCGTTTGGAAATCGGAGGCCTGGTGGTGAGAAATTGCCGTGCATTGGCTTCTCGGACAGGGTTCCATCGGGATGCCGTACTTGTAATTCGAGCTTGACGTCTAGGAAATTGTAGTTGGAATATATGAGCATTGATGACTCGCCAGTCTTGTTGGAGATCCGCTCTTCGGGTGCTCTTGCTTCGCCAGCTTGCCGTGTTCCTCCGCCAATATCGCTGGGGTCGATACTGGTGAGAGGCGCAACCACGCTTCGATAAGCGCCGCAACTTCTGCCTAATGTGCTCGTTTCCGTCCATTTGAGGCTCCGGAGATTGAAAACGCTAATCTGCTCAATGTAGTGGTTGGCACTATCCTGCCCGCCCACGACGAGCATTTCCGCGCCACCCTCGCCGTCCAACTGTACGCCAAGAGAACCCTGGTTCGGATTCGATGAAGGTGGGTTGTGCCGTATGGCTGTTACAGCGGCTGATGTCGAACTGAAAACGGCAGAGCTTGGGAGTATGGTTGCGCAATGTGCATAACGACCTTGGGGTGGATCGGTTGTGGCGACATGCATCCACTCTCTTGTAAGCGCATCGTAGATGTGGACATCGGACATGACCACCACTTCAGGTTGAGCATCGGCAGGAGCACCTTGTATCACAGAAGTTGCTTGGTTAGAAGACGGACTTACAGGTGACATGCCTCCATAACAGACGAGTTTCGTGTCACCAAGTGGGCAGACGCTGTGGAAATACCGAGGGGGCGGAATATCACCTTTTGCATCGACCTTTGTCCAGTGGCGCTTGACGAGATCGAGTTCGTACAAGTCCGACGTAAGCTGCGGTCTCGTCCGGGAGAGTCGGCGGCCGCCAAAAACATATAATTTGTCGCCTAGTATGGTAGTAGTGGCGCCCACGAGGGGATGCGGTTCTCTTCCAGTTGTACGGTGTACATTGCAGACTAAACCCGACAGTCCTGCCGTTGAACTTGTCGGTGTTGCAAGTCCTGCGAGCATAGCTGGAGACTGAGACATGCCGGGCGTCCGAGTTGAAGATGTTGGTGGCCGGTCGGATCCGCCATCTTGACCGTCTTGATGGTTCAAACTTGTTTGGCTATTGTTCAAACTCGATGTAAAAGGTGCCGATGTTTGGGAATCCAGGGTGTGAGTTCGGCTAGCCATGCTGCGCGGGCTTTGTAGCGAAGCGGTAACGTGCTGAGGTCCACCAAGATCAAGAAGTAGCTCGACGGAAGAGGATGAGAATTTCTGTAGAGGTATAGCCCAATTTGGTATCACAATCTCCACATGACGAGACTTAACGCTAAGAGATCTGATCAGGGATTTGCTGCTCGGCCAGGGAATTCCGGAGAGGCTAGGACAGCTACTCGATGGCGGAGAGCTGAGGTCAAAGCTCGTACAGAGGCTTTTAGGTGTTACAATCTGATCATGGACGATGGGCACGTGCTTAGATTCGATTCGACGAGACCAATTGGATTCCAGTGGAGTTTCCAAGTGGACCCTGCGATAAGTGCTGGAAAGAGAACCCGTAGAGTCGACAGAACGTTTCTTTCTGGTCAAGACCTGTCTGATGTTTGTTTCTCTTGGTCTTTTCCAAAACAACGATGTGTCGCCCAATCGCTCGGTACTAGCACCGACAGAGGGGTAGAATAAACCTAGAGGCAGTGCCATAGTTAGCGACCAGTATACAGGATGAGATTGGAGATGCAAAGTAATGCTGAAAGATGAGGAATGGCCTGGTTTTGAAATGATCTGTCATGGGCTGCAACATACTTCCAATGCAGGCGTCTTTGCAAGGTGCGGGTTACAAAGAAAGGCCCTACCGCAAGTTGAAAAGCCATCTTTACACATTAGGGAAGGGCATGTTGCTGCAGTGCGACTTGCTACCGTGATACGAACAGTGATCTTACGACGCAGCGCCTTATGGTAGGACAATGAAAAATTCCAGCTCTTTTTGAGATGTAATGGCTAAGGATAGGGGAAGGGAAAACGACACAACATGTTGATGCTGGCGGCATGGGCTGAAAATCGACAAACGAAACAAAGAGAGGGGTGCAGGCTTATAAAAGGAAGACGAGCCTTACTTCTGAGAGAGAATCGCCACACACGGGAGCGAGCGGGGAAGATGATCCAGGGGAACGGTAGACGTATGCAGAGAAGGAAGAGGCGGTATTCAACGCGTGGTGCTGCTGAACTCGCGCGATACAGATGACAGCGAGGTTCGTGTGGAGGCCTCTACGCTGGAAATGGACTAGAGCCTTGGCGAGAATCGTCAGTCCTGGCGCCTGCAGGTTCGCTAGCAAGGTATCGATGTTGGACGTATTCAGAGGCAGAGCGGCTGCAGCACTCTGATAGCTGAAGACTTTCCGGTGGGGTGAAACAGTAGTAGGCAGGGCAGGCGACGGAGGGTGTGGAGGCGGAGGGAGATCCGAGCTGGAATGATAGGCTGAGACTTGACAATCAGACCGTTAGAGGGTACCCCGAGCCACAGGCGCCAATTTCAGGCCGCAAGGACGTCAGTGTGCGATACCAGCGATACCAGCGATACTGACGTCCGTTCTCGAGATGCGAGGGCACTGCACACTTTTGGCTCAGCAAGGCTTGCAAAGAGGATTCATCGACGCAAGAGCACGGTCGCGAAAACAAATTAGCGCAATGAATGTTGGGGCAACAAATCAACAATCGTATGTTCAAGATTAGAGGCGCTGTTAGCGTAGGAGGCCCATCTGGATGTTCATATCGGATGATCGGTGAAGCTGGACTAGTACCTGGGAAAGCGGTATTTGGAAGTTACTATGGTAGTCGGAGGCTTCCTGGTAGTGCGTCGGACTGGACCGAGACGTAGCCTCTCGCTATTTCGCACCGTCGCTCTTAATTTCAAATTGGAGCCCAGGTACTAGCCGTGCGCTTCAAAGCCGACGAAAAGACGACCTGGTATCGCGCCTTTGTTACAACACTGTACATGGAGAACCTAATCGATATTCCCCAAACCGCGTTGCTTTGAGTCTCGCGAAGGACACGTATGGTTGCGAAACGCATGACTCGGGTACATCGCAAAAGAAAGAGCTTGGTAAACCTCGGAACATTCTCGTCTGTCATTAAGTTTTTGAGACCTTTACTGCTCTTTTCCTGCCGTTTTTAGTCTCGCCTTTCCCGTCGCTCACTCCCTGTTTCTCCTCTTCTTCTTCACCTTTCCACTCTTCTGACATCCTCTTCAACGCTGACGACTCTGCTACTCTGGCTCCAGGAATCACTCCAAGAGGTTAGGTGATGATGGATACGAGGGTAAGCGGACACGCTCGCATGGTCCGCCAGCCCACTCGAAAGCCTGCCAGTCCCACCTCGGTACCATGTTCCCTGATGGCAACTACGGTTTCACTCCTGCCGATTATCAGTACCTCGAGTCGCGCTGAGGGACTCTGCTTTCTTTCAGATTCGCCCGCGGCCACTTTTGTGGTATTCTCTACAAAATGCTAGGTTATGTTAAGAAGGTATTGGCGAAGACAGGAATGAGCGATCTTTGTTGTTATTGTTCCGGGTGTGCCCGTCTCTCCAGTCGTTAGATGGAATCTTTAGATACGACTTCGCTCAGAGTCCTGGCGCGTCTCGCTTCTTATGTATCACCGTCTCTGGTGGCTTTGAAGAGCCATCTTAGAGAATACACTTGAACGTCTTATCAACACACGGCTTGCAACATTGTATAAAAGAGAAAAAACAACTTTCCTCTTTAAGAGTACTCCTTCCTACTACAAAAGAGCATACAGAGAGCTATATAGATTAAAAACCTATAAGACTATAATACTGTTAATCTTGATAAGTTATCCTATTAGAAGATAATGTAGGCTGCAAGGTAAAGCTTGTTATGTTTACACCTGTTCGGTTTTTCCCTCGTATACGGTGCAAGGTAACTTTGGCCCACGAAACGTGACATTGTTGACCAATAGTCGCAAGTGATATCAGCATGGCATGGCTATCAGACACGACCTGGAAAGCATGCGAAGGTAGACCAACTTCATTCTCATGATTGTGCCTTGTCTATTCTCACAGCTAAGCATAGTCTGGGCTATAATTATTCGATGGTCCCAACAACCATCGCCACAATATTGGTATAGGCTGTCATGATTGTCTCATCTCAAGGTATCTTATCGTCGATAATGTTTGCGTCTATGCCGCAGTCGTCTTCTCTTTCCTGTTTATCAAGTCAGCGCATGTCTCGAAAGCATTTCGTAACTAGAAAACTTACGGAAGAGGAGTAAAGCGCAGGTAAGGCTTAACAATTCTGATATCAGGGAACATGGTCTTGGCGTCCTCGGTCTTAACAGAGGGGTGGACGATAACGTCATCACCTGGAACCCAGTTGATAGGAGTAGTAATTTTGTGCTTGTCACCAGTCTGCAAACTGTCCAAGACGCGAAGGACCTCTGCAGTGTTCCTGCCTGTGCTTGCTGGGTAAGAAAGGATGAGGCGGATGGTCTTCTTGGGGTCGATGATGAAGACTGAGCGGATTGTAAAGGCGATTCCCTTGCTATCGACGTTGGTGGCATCTTGGTGATCGATCCTGGCGATTGTCAGACGCGTGTCACTAGCATCGTGTGATTCCTCCTACTCACATGTCGTATGCCAAGGCGACCTGCCTGTCCTTGTCGCCGATGATGGGGAACTTGAGGCTGCTTCCCGAGATCTCGTCAATGTCCTTGATCCAGCCTCCATGACTTTCTACTGTGTTGGCTGAGAGACCAATGAGCTTGGCACCGCGACGGCTGAACTCAGGCTCCAACTTGGCGAAAGCACCGAGCTCAGTTGTGCAGACAGGAGTGTAATCCTCAGGGTGAGAGAAAAGAATAACCCAGTTGTCGCCGATAAACTCGTGGAAGTCAATGGGTCCTTGGGTCGTCTCGGCCTTGAAATTGGGGGCCTTGGAGCCGAGCCTGAGGGGTTCTGGTCGGTCGCTCATTGTGTCTTCTGTGCTTGTGCTCATGTCAGTCGTGTCCAAGCAAACTCCGCAAACATGTGGGGTAAGTGGCGGGGCAGGCGAAAGCAAGTTGCCATACCTGAATCTTAGTTCCGTGTGCAAGTGGGCTTGAAGAAGATGTCAAAGTATCTTCCGAGCGATTGATTAAGAAGCTGTAGGTTTGTCAGAGGGAGAGTCGAAGTAGTGGGGTCATCTGTCTTCTTGTAAAGGCCGTACCTAACAATCGACAAGCAACACTTCTAGCTAGCGTATATGGCGTCATGTCACGTATCTCCACCAAAGCTTTTCTGCCGCTCGAATATTCCACGTCGTTGGCCAGCAGACGAATCATAGACTCGATATCTCCGGCGGTGCTGCGCTGCCAATGAGTCGCCCCTCCTGCCGAGCATTTGTCGCGATTGGAGGCTGACAAAAGCCAATGAGACAGATAAGAAATTCCTCATTGCTGCTCTAGTATGCGCTGGGTAAGCATCCTCCGAATCGGGTCAGATTATTCGCGAACCGTTCAACGAGAAGACCACCGTTCATGTGAGGCGAGATTTTAAGGACGTCAGGCTTTGCAATGTGCGTACTGTCTGCTTGTCTATGTTGGTGTTGCTATCATGGCGGGTAGCTCGACTGCGTACCCCGGTACCTATGTAGATGGCAAAGCGATTGAAGGAAGTTTCGTTCATCACCGGTTCACCATATATCACTTCGGCAAACAATGCTTCTAGGGCAGTGCGCGGAAGCATGGGGTCCGCTCTCAGGCTGGGTAACTCTGTTTCAGCGCGTACCCTTGTCAATGCATCGCTGAACAACTGTCATCTGTCATGTCGCGCGAAATCCATCATGGTCGTGGCTTCAAGCTTCTCGCAGCCGGTGCGACATGAAGGCTGCAGATTCATGTGTTACATATGAACATCACTACTTCTACTCCTCCATGCGGTCCCTTGGCAGCAGCCTTGCGCAGCTCCTAATTGCTCTGCGCCTGGCGGTTCATCGAATATTTAGGCCGAACATCCGAGACTAAACATCCGCTATCCCCACTTTCCAAAGACATTACATCTTGTACCGGTTATCGCAGAATCGGAGAGCGAGGAAAGTGTTTGCTTTTGGGAAAGTGCCGGTACTTCCCGCTGGCATTGTCGCTGGTCGGGGAGCCATTCGCTCGTCCGGGTTGAGTTGTCTCTGTCCGAGGCACACCAGCATCCTTCCCGCATGACGCATCAGATCGACCCTGTTTTCCGCCCAGTTCAAAGATTTTGAGGCGGCCTTGGCGTGTCGGTGAGCACGATAATTCCCAAGTTTAGCCCGAAGCGGGACGCCCCATGCAAGGCGGGCCTGGACGATGGAGAAGTACTCCTATTCCCGACCAATACAATCAACTTTTGTCCACCACTTCGGAATAGAACTGGGCCTCTCACACCGTCCAGTTGTTCGTTGGGATACATTTCGGCTACGGGTGTGTGGGTTAGCGGACCAGACCTAACCCGCCGCTTAAGCTATGAAGGTCGAGCTTTTCATCGTCACCGGATTCACGCTTGCTCTTGAACTCTGACGCGTTCATTACGATATCTCCAGCACACCCTTTTGGCCTTTCTATTGAAGAGAAGGAGTTCGTGGCAGCATGGCTGCCAATCCAGAGATCAACCTTCCAGAGACCTCTGAGCTTGGAGCTACCGATTCGCGAAGCCAAGCGGGAATAAGCATATTGCCGGACATGCACAGGATTTCGGCAGAGGAACCCGCAGGTCACGATTCCACATCCGAACCAGACAACGAGCCAGAGAAAGAATATTATTATGGAAAGAACAGCGCCAGTAGCGAATTCGCATCGCAAAAAGACATTCAGAGTTCAGAAGTCGTTTGGCGATATCTCACATTCGACGTCGAACTTCCGCATCCGACAACTATCCATCCGACGCAACCCGATCAGGAAGCTCCACCTGGGCCCCCAAACCTTACCAAATATACGAACCCTTTCGATTGGTCCGAGACAAGAAAAAGATTCACGATATGTGTGTCATGTTTCATCACGGCGCTTACTGCGTTCTCAGCCGGAGCTTACAGCCCGGGCGTTGGGCAAATGACGCAGGAATGGGGTGTCAGCAGTGTTGCAGCGCTTGTCGGCATCACGACCTTTACGACCGGCTTCGCCATCGCGCCGATGGTTCTGGCCCCCTTCTCTGAGATCAATGGCCGACGACCAGTTTTCCTCGCTTCTGGTATACTATTTGTGATATGTCAGCTCTGCTCTGGCCTCACGCAGTCTTATGCTGGTATGCTCGTTGCGCGGTTCTTTTTGGGTGTAGGCGGATCTACATTCTCGACTATGGTTGGCGGAGTGGTGTCTGACATATACCATGCTGAGGATCGCAACACCCCCATGGCTCTGTTCTCGGGCGCTGCATTGTTCGGCACTTCCTGGGGGCCATTAGTGTGTGGCTTTATTGCACAGAACACGTCTTGGAGGTGGATATTCTACGTACAAGCTATTGCATGCGCGGCAGTGGTCGTGCTGATGTGTGTTGTATTTAAAGAAACCCGCGGTTCAGTTCTTCTGTCCAAGAAGGCCAAAGCTTTGAACAAGTGGTACGAGGCCCGCGAGGCGTCCGGATATTATGGCTTCAACATCCACGATGCCGAAAAGCCTGAGAACATGGTATCGCAACGTTTGAGATGGAAAGTACGATCAGATGAGGAACGGGCCTCTCTCAGCAAGATGATAGGAGTCTCTCTTTACCGACCATTCCATCTTCTCTTCACCGAACCCGTAGTATTCTGGTTCTCGCTCTGGGTGGCCTTTTCCTGGGCTGTACTTTATCTCACTCTAGCGGCCATTCCACTGGTGTTCCAGAGCAACCATGGTTTCTCACTACAACAAGCCAACGCTGTCTTCGCGTCTATGGGAATAGCTAGTATCTTCTCGACTATATTGTCAATTTACCAAGAGAAAATCGCGAAGAGGAACGGAAAACTAACAGGCACTCCCGAAGGCCGCCTCTACTTTGCTTGCATAGAAAGCGCCTGTATGCCTGTTGGTCTTTTCATGTTTGGTTGGACGAGCTTCCCTGATATTCATTGGGTTGTACCAGCAATCGCAATTGGTATTGCTACTATCGGAATCTTCAGCATCTACCTTGCGACCTTCAACTTTCTCGCAGATACGTATCATCGCTATGCGAGTTCAGCACTAGCGGCGCAGTCTTTCTGCCGGAACATGCTTGGTGAGGTCATCTTCGTTGATTACCAGTGGACATATGCTGACTTCGATACAGGCGGAATCTTCCCACTTATCACAACTCAAATGTATAACAAACTTGGCTACGGCCCAGCGAGTAGTCTGCTGGGAGGAATTGGCGCATTTTTAACCATAGTACCTTGGATTCTGGTCTTCTATGGTCCTAGGATCAGAGCGAGAAGCAAATTTGCAAGCGAAATCATGGCTGTTACCAGTTGATGAGTGAGAAGGCAGCATCAGAATACATAGCGACAAGCTTTTCGATAGTTAAATATCTCGTTTTTACTGCGGCTGAAAGACTTTTTGGTCATGAGTGCCAGCATCAGAAGACAAAACGCCGACTCGCGCAGGCATAGAGTGTTGTCGCCAGATGCAAGCAAGTAGGTAATCTTTTGATAGCGAGGTCGCCAAATTGGGTTAGGAAGTCAGGCCCGCCATCTGTTGCATCATTCGCAGGGCTGTAGCAGTGAGCCGATCAACCGTAACACAGCCTCACGACTCAGCCTACCATCCACCGTCTACCAAACGATGCGCGTGCACATCCTGCTGTGGGCGAAATTTGTACTCGTGTCTGTATTCCCGTTCCTCATCTCCACTAAGTTTTTGAGTGGCGATAGAACGGATATGCCATAACAACACTACGGCTCTTTAAATGCTACTCGTGTCCACTGGCCACTATGGACGACCTTCTTCCATCCTACGAAAGCGTGATGCGACGCGATCCTTGGGTGCTCGTCGCTCCATATCTGCCCTCTCAAGATCTGTGCTCTGCAGCTCTAGTTTGTCGGCAATGGCACCAAACTTTCACACCGAACCTCTGGGGTAGTCCAGCCTCACATTTTGGGGTCGAAAACGATACTGTTTATGGTAAGATACTACAACATGAAGGCTAGTCTACTATCTAACGCCTGATAGTGGCACTCACACGGTTTAAGCGTACTTTGCCTTATGCGCGAGCCTCCGTACGGGAGCTTACGCATACTTTACGTTTTCCACCAGCCCATGCGGAGCTGTATGATGGGCCGCATGCAGAATGGCTCCGAGACTGCCTCGAGCACCTGCCTCGTCTACAGTGCTTGATCGTAGATAGCCTGCCATTCTTCGATCATGCCTCTCTCTTGAGCCTGCGACACTCGAGTCTGCGATGGAGGTCAGCTCGCCCCACTGCGTATCCAGTGTTCGGCTTACGCCTACTCGACGCTTCCAGCTGCATGAATGCAACATCCATGGGTCTTGCTGAAGCCCTACCACATTTTCCAGATCTCGTCTCATTGGATCTATCAAAAACTGCAGCTGCGAGAGATAAGGCAGTTCTATCCACCCTAAAGTACCTCCGGAATCTAAGAGTCCTGAACCTCCGTGGCACTGGAATCAAGGATGAAGAGTTTTCGATAGTTGCGCACGCAATTGGAAGTCGTGTTAGAAGTCTTGACATAAGCAACAACTTCTTGACAGACACTAGCGTCCGACTCCTTCTCGAGTTATGCTTGAAAGAGACTACTATTGCAGCGCATACCTCTCGTGCCCCACTGCCGCCGGTTCAGAATGCAGTCCCTACCAACGAACCGGGGGCGTTCGAGTCAGAAAATCTTGTTGGTCATCTTCGCAAGAAACTCACTGAGGGTTTCGTCGGTAGCCTTGCAATAGAAGAAACCAGCGATGTCGGAGTATCACATTTATTTCTCTCGAGCAACGCCGTAACTGTTGAAGGCATATCGGCTTTACTGCGGTCTGGGCGTTTGCAGGTCCTGGATGTAGGCATACTACCTGCTGTAGTGAGAAATCCTACTGCCGTCTCGCCAGGATCACCAGACGACGACTTAGATCTGCCTAGCGTATCAAAACTCGCTCCCGTTCTGAATGAGTATGCTTCGGGTAATCTGAGATATCTGAGGATCAACTACGAATTGGTAACAGAAGATGCGCCTCTCGAAGTGCCCAGATCGCCACGCGCGGAACTCGACGGGGACCTTGGCATATATAAGCCTACAGGTGCGCATGAACTCGAAGCTGTCCAACTACCGATAGCTGAGCTTGATTCGCAATCTGCGGCTGTTCTTGAGGCGCCTGGGGATGCATCATACCCGGCTGAGCTTCTTGGCTCGCCAATAGCATCTCTGTCCTCAGCACCTATCAAGTCAACTTCGGGCAACGCTGATAATGACAAGCAGAGCGCCACAATCGTTCCTGAGATAAGCGTTACTCTGCAGCCACTACAGATCAATCGAGGCCCTGCATATGCCCCAGAGCCCATGCCTGTAGATCCGCCGTTGACTCCACTTAGCCCCCTAAGGATCAATGAGAACTACCAGCCTGGCTCAATTGAAGGTGTTCCCAACACACCAGGAACCTTTGCACCACCCACAACAACTTGTGATAGTAACATACCGTCCCAGCTGACAGGCGATACTGCGATTAGGTCTCGGGCGAGCTCCTTCTACTACATCGAAGACAGGAAAGCTCGTTTGGACTTTCGTCAAGCATCTCAGCCTCGACTACATCCTGGAATGCTTCCAAAGCTTCACACTCTTGTTCTTACCGGGGTACCAACCATGACAATCGAGAAGAAGATTATTCATCGAATCATACAATACATCCAAGACGCGGCTGAGGAAGCCTCAATTGCTAGGAAGCGCGCTAGACATACATACGTACTTCCACCGGGTCGGAGACGTATTGTTGCAGAAGAAGAGTATGCACGCAACCAATTCGCCCTTCGAAGAGTGGTGCTTGAGATGGCGCCCCCGCAGCAAACGCCAAAGAAGATCACCAGTAGTTGGCGGGCTTATCCAACGAAATCATCTACAGAGGACAGAGATTCAGAAGCATTTTGGGACGCTGCAGCGCATGACTTCTCCTTCTTCGATGACGAAGAGTGCGGGCAACCCGGTCGTGAGCCAGATCGCACCCTTCCTTTAGCAGCTATGGATGGGCTAGAACTTGCACCTAGCCATCCTGCCGTACTGGCAGAGCCAAGCAAAAATGTACTTGAAACGGGGCCGTTGCTTGATGTGGCAGGAGAGATAGGAAAGTTTCGCAGAGAAAGGAAAGCCGCTAATAACAATTTAATGGCGATGGGCGAGGCTGAACCGGATGTGGAGGGATACTGGCCTGGAGACATTACGGTCCTGAGGAAGCCAGTAAACTCAGAAGCTGGCGAACTTGACTGCTATGGCAACCGTTACGAATCTGGTTGGTACTACCGTTGAGGTGCGTGATAGCGAAGCGAGGCACGGGTACAAATATACTCTTTTGTACATCGAAGTCATTTGATAGGCTGGATACCTACCACAAAGCTTCTATGGGTGTCTTTGAGATGATACTCAGCCTTCTTGGAGGACAACCCGTCCTCTGAGGAGGATAACCAATTACGAATCAGCTTACTCACCGGTTCTGTGACCGGTTCCATGGGCTGACCCCGCGCACAAATCTATCCTCTTCAACATGCACTTGCCTGATAACATCGCCATGCTAAATATCTTAAGATTTTATGCATTTCTCACAAGTTAGGTTATGTTTGCAGTAACGTAACCCTCGCACTTCGCCCGTACTTGGAGCCCAGCCACGCCAAGGACCGTTACGTTCGTCACGAGCTTCCAGCTTCAGCTGCTACCAGACAAAGTGTTAGATCTCTGGAGATTGGATTGAACTTCCGGTAGTCTTTGAGTATTCCATAATCGTCATCTGCAATTAGGTACAATCATGGGCCAGTCTTGGAGTAGTCGAACAGCGGAATACCCGACTTATGAGCGACGTAAAAGGAAAAGTGCTTCCAAATCGGAACGAAACAAAGGGAATACCCGAACCGATGCAGGTAACATCCATCAAGTTCGTACGAATTCCCACTTACGGCGTCGCGATGGCCAGGCTATTTCGAACCGCACCACTCCCAGATTACACCAAAGCGATCACAGGCAAACTCCTCTACGTTTCCCTCATCATCTTCATGCCAAGTCTGCAGCAAGAACAATGAAAGAAGGATCAATAGTCGCGGACAGGAATCGAAAACCTAAAGAGGCCCCGAAAAAGCTAGAGTCCGACGGTATTAAGAGCAATAGAACTCAAAAAAGCGATACGAAGCACAACTCTGTCAGTCGAAAAGACAGCCACCAAGCTCACCGCGAAATGTATCGATCCGAGGACAAGCATAAGAGAGAGTGTATGGTTTGTACCGATACGCTCTCTTTGCATCATTTTCACGATCGGCCTCCGACTAGGGATTGTCAGCACGGGGCCGATGTATGCCGGAAATGTCTTCGTACATGGATTAAATCGGAATTCAGTACTAAGATGTGGGACGACATCAAATGTCCCAGCTGCTTAATCTCAATGAAAAGCGTGGATATGCGAGATTTTGCCCCGAAGGAGATATTCAAACGGTACCGAGACACCTTCTCCATTCACAATCTACCCCCTTCGATGCACTGACAAGACCCCCAGCTACGTGGAACTTTACAACCGAGCAAGGAAGGAAGCACAGCCGGGCTTCAGATGGTGCAACCTCAAGGGCTGTAAATCAGGCCAAGTGCATTTTCCTCAAACCCCCAAATTTCGGTGCGACGGCTGCGAAAGGATTTCCTGCATTGTCCACAATATGAAATGGCACAAAGGCGAAACATGCAGGGAATACGACTACAGAACTAACGCTAATATTAAAGCTGAGGAGGAAGAAGCCAGTAAGAAGTTGTTGGCGGCGACGACAAAACAATGTCCTGGGTGTAAGAGACCGATTGAGAAGAACATGGGATGTGATCATATGGAATGTGAGTCAACCTTACTTCTGGAAGAGAGGAGGGTAGAAGGGATTGGAAAACGAGACTAACATTTATTTGAATCGTAGGTACGAAATGCCGTCTTCATTTTTGTTGGGCGTGTTTGCTACCGTATCGTTCCGATGTTTCTCGACGGGCAAGGGATGCAGGTGGAGGAAAGTGCTGTGAATGTTATGTACAACGTGCTTGATTTACGTTCCATAAGCTGAGAGGATCATCCTGTAAGACGTTTAATGGAAATGAGCGACTATCAGACTGCAACGACATCAAGGCCGGAAATACGTAAAGCTCGCCGCTAGCATAATTGTCAAGAACATATACTTCGCCCAATCGACGTTCTTCTCCTTCTCCCTCTCTTCATTCAGACGCCACCCCTCGGCGCTCTCATTGATTGTCCTCGTCGGCGCATAATCCACTTTCGGAGCCTTAGCCAACGTCCTTGCAGTAGCTTCCCTCTATAAGGGTACGATATACGGCGCCAGATACCCGACAAAAAGCGACCAAGATAGGTTTGGTAGCTATTCATACGTGTCATCTGACCACTCGCATGGACAAAAGCGCTCGCTCGCTCGTGGCGGCCAGCTTGATATTCGGCGAAGAGGAAAGTAAGCTCGTTATTCGTGATGTGTCGAGTGGGCGTGGAGCCAAACTCGCGATGGAGGACATTGCAGAGATAGACTGCAGATTCTATGCCTATATTGGCACCCATACCGATGTCTGCGGTCATCTTTTGTTGGGTCAGGCAAGAGTCTGCTAGCGGGAACAAAGGGGATTTGTACTTTGTGAACTGAGTCGCCTACGAGAACTATACGCCCAGCATACCGTTTGCCTAGGACACCTTCTTCAACAGTGAGAAAACCGTTCCTAATGTTTGTTCCCCACAAGTCTCCTACTTTGATCTTCTCCGTGATAGGATGGTCGGCAAAGTTCTTCGCTACTGCCTCGATGTCTGCTTCTGTAGCCTTGTCTCTCTTCACTGGCAGATGGCCCTCATCTTTGAAGGTGATACCCCGATATACTTTCCCATGCTGAGTAAAAACCATTTTCGTGTTGTCTTGACCGAGAATGACATGTGTATCTGCAGGCCCAAGATTGAACGAGTCTTTCACTGTGCTGACACCGAAGATACCTCTGAACTCGCTGAATCTCATGACTTCTTTTTCATTTTCAGGTATTGTTCCTGGTTCAAATTCTGAGGCATAGTCCCACATGAGCTGTCGCACGAGGCTATGCACACCGTCTGCTCCGATGACCATGTCGCCTACTTCCACAGAGCCATCCGCCAAATGGATACAAACACCAGTCTCAGTATGCTCAATCTTTTCAAGCCGCCGGTTAGTGTGAATGTATGACTTGTCTGGTAGCCCCTCGTATAGATGTGATACCAGAGCCTGGCAATCAAACAAGATACTCGGTACTTGGAAGCTTTTGTGGGTCAGTATTCGTCCTTCATCTTGGTTTTCAGGTAATGCGACAACACGAGATCAACCTACAGTTTGCTCATATACTGTTGAACAGGATCGTACCGGCTCACACTTCCGTCTGGCCATCTTATATATTCTTTGCCTACAGGCGTGATGGTCCTGGCGATCTTGTCGAGAATGCCGAACTGGTCAAAGATGCGTGCGACTGGGGGCCAGGTAATCAGTGCTGCACCTCTTACTGAAACGATCTTGTCATGCTTTTCAAGAACGACGTGGTCAATGTTGGCTAGTTGTAGGGCATGGGAGAGCGATAAACCGACGATGCCGGCCCCGACGATGATGACTCTGAACGGTTTCGAAGTGGTTGAGTCTGGCTGAGCCATAGTACAATCAGATCCAGGTATTCGCTGTCGGTACGTTGCAGGCGTTTAGTTGTGATCTGGAAAAGCTTATTGCCGTGAGGATAAAACAGCGATGCTAGACACATTGAGGAACGTCACTGCATATATGCACCTTCGAAAAGACTAGTACCTATTCGTAGAATACTTCCTATTGTTCTGTGAGCCAAGCTTGGCGGGCGTGTGCCACCAGATCGACAGTTTGGTTTGCTACGCCTCATTAGCCAAGCATGAACTGCTGTTGGTTCAGTGTTCTTCAGACCCAATGCTAACTTCTCTGTATGGCTACTCCCGTTATTAGTGCTGATGTTTCGTATCTGAGCATCGCAAGACTGCTCAAGACGCGGCATTCGATCATGTGATACCATCCCGAACACTTCCAAGGGCGCCGCCGTATCTGGACTCCGTAGATGCTGACATCAGTGTCTGGCGCATGACAACAGAACAATGTCAGGATCATCTAGTTAGCAATAACAAGCTTATTGTCACCTCAAGGTCTGCGCATCAAGTGTAGTGTTCGGGAAACGTCTTTTGCGAAAGATGTACGCCGCCTTCATAGCTGACCACAGTGAAAGAATGATTGCTACACGGCCTGTAACAATGATTGCAAGTGTGAGACACCCTGTTGCCAGAATACACAACAGCGCTCCGCCAACCGCTGTGAGGTAAAGCTAGTAATCACTGCGAAGCTTGCCGTGGACATGGTCGTTAGAGAGTGTGCCGTCTATGCTAGCACACAAGTTGCCGAGCAAGGCCGTACTGACTGTGTCCATGCAGGAACCATTTCGCTTGTGACAGCGGAATCTGGGGTAATGGATCGGCAGCCCTGGTCTGACAAAAGATGTCGTGTTGGCTCAAGTTTCCGGAGATGCACGACTCACGACAAGAATTTGATTGTAGAGCAAAGCTTCGGTAATGGTGAAAACATGTGCCAGTGTGGTATGCAAGAATGAGCTGGGCAAAAACGCAGGGTGATTGCCCGGAACGTAGACAGCTCTGATGGCGCGTGGGAGGAATACCCGAGCGATGATGAAAATGGCAGTCAGGATAGTCATTGGGAGACCGCAGACACAGCTGAGTTGCCGAAGATAGGCTTGGTAATTAGCGATCGGCTCTGCAACAAGACAGTAGGGTGCAGCCTGGTGTGAACGGGAACTGCGAACTAGCTCCAGCCCACATGGTGCTTGGCACACTAACCGGCTTGGTCGACCCCGGCTTGCACCTCCAAGCAGGCGCATCACGGTATCGCGCCCGTCTCGCAGCCAACGCCCCTCCGCACATCGCCTACCGCTGGCCCCCGAATCGATGAACACGGTGCATTCTGGCTGCCGGGTGAATACGCGCTTGCCGTAGCTTTCACGACACAGCACCGGCGCCGGCGCGTGATTTCGCGATTCCCAACCTCACCCTTGCGGGCCTCTAGACACATTCGCTCTGTCTACATGGCGCCTGTTCCCGACACACCACTACCACGCGTGAGAAGCACACGACCGCCCCGGCGACACATATCTGACTCAGCGCCAGCCAGCAAGCGGCGCAAGTACATTCCAGGCGGACCAGGAGGCGGGGGAAGATACGTGGATGACGCTGGGCTAGAGACACCTGTAGGAGGAACTGGTCCCGGAGGATACGCGTACACTGGTCCCCGTGGCCGCGTAGGACGCATCAACGCCGAACGGCAAGGCCTGTCTCTATCAGCACCTTCCCCTTCATACACCCGACCCCGACGCGAAAGGCCGCCAGCTGGACCGCGTTCCAGTTCGGCCGCCGCAGTCGCCGCCGCAGTGGCTCAAAACGATGGATACAAGCCGCGCGAGGAGCGGAGCTGGGATGAATTTCATCCGGACCTGGACATAGACGTTGAGTTCCCTGTCTACAGCGCGGACCAGATCGATGGCATCAGCCCTCAGGACAGCGCCCCAGGAACTCCGCTGAACGGTTCATCTACCGGCCAGTATGCCGTCGACAGTGGCATCTCGGCCATGCTTGACGGTCTGCGGGCGCAACAAGCAGAGAATGTTGCGCAAGAGCAAGAAGATGCCAGCTTAGCCGTCAACGGCTCAGGCGCTTTTGTCACACCGAAGCGACGTCCAGGCCGACCTCCTCGCAATAGAGATTCCATGCTGGCTGGCCTTGGATCGCCGCCTCGACCACGAGTCAACCCCCTTCCGACCATGAACCCAAGGGAGAAGCTTAATCTGCCAAAGCCATCAGTGCGCCAAGTCGATCCGTTCAAAGAACATGAAGAAAGCGAGGGAGTCAAGGTCAACTATGTCGACAAGACTATGGCGAATATTGGATACCAGGAAAGCGAGATCTTTACAAGGCCGTCGGAGAACAGCCTGATCAGGCTACCCGAGGGTTCTATTGAAGAGGATCTGGATTTGACTCTCCAGACAGAAGCTGAAGGAACTGCCGGTGCTGTTGCCGTCGGCCGTGTCGAGTATGATATGGACGAGCAAGACGATCGGTGGCTGGAAGCACTCAACATACAACGCAAGGAAGAAGGGGTTGAAGGCATCAAACCTGCAATATTCGAAGTAACCATCACACAGATCGAGAAAGAGTGGCATGCGTTGGAGAAGCGTAAGTCTAGCCCGATGCGTTGCCATGTTGGACACAACAGCTGACATGTGAAAGGCATACCCAAACCAAACCCCAAACCACCTCAGACGCATCGACCACGCTCCAGTAGCGCAGCCGCAGTTAACGGAGAGCCTGCTGGCCAAGGCGAAGAGCAGGACACAAAGTGCGCCATCTGTGACGATGGCGACTGCGAAAATACCAATGCAATAGTGTTTTGCGATGGTTGTGACCTGGCAGTCCACCAAGAGTGCTATGGAGTGCCTTTCATACCAGAAGGACAATGGCTGTGCAGACGATGCCAATTGGTGGGGCGCGGCACCCCTGTCAGTGAGCTTCCGGTATGTCCTGGCCCTGTCTGCTTTATTCGATGCATGCTGACAGTCACAGGGTTGCATATTCTGTCCAAATATAGACGGCGCGTTCAAGCAAACCACTGCGATGAAGTGGGCACATCTGCTCTGCGCCATGTGGATACCGGAGGTATCACTGGGCAATGCGACGTTCCAAGAACCAGTACAGGATGTTGAAAAGGTTCCCAAAACTAGGTGGAAGCTGGTAAGAATTGACATGCCCCACCGCACGAACAGCTCACTAACTACCAGACAGTCTTGCTACATATGCAAACAGAAGATGGGAGCATGCATCCAATGCGGCCACAAGTCATGTTTCGAGGCCTTTCATGTCACATGTGCACGAAGGGCTAGACTATGCTTGCGCATGAAGTCCTCACATTCTTCAAACCCACAAGATACGACTGTACTCAAAGCCTACTGCGATCGTCATACTCCATCAGATTGGAAGCGTGAGTATGATGTTGAGAGTGCAATCGCAGATGCCAAAGCTTTCTATCGCCACACTATGCGTCATGTTCGATGGCCAGACAGCCAAGCCTATGCCCTCTCCATCGGCTCCTCACACGCAATGCCTTCTATCGAAGGGCCGGAAGACGATACCCCCGGATCCAACAAGCGGAAGCGCGGGCAATCTACCAAGTCCTGGAGACTTCCGTCAGGAGCACCCGTTGTTCCCCAAGCTATCTACCACAACGTTGAGAACACGCTGATCAAATTCAATGTGCGTAAACGCAAAGAGTTTGTGCAGGAGGCCTGCAAGTACTGGACGCTCAAGCGTGAGGCTCGACGCGGTGCGGCTCTTCTAAAGCGCCTTCAGCTGCAAATGGAAGCCTTCTCGTCCATGGAGATTACTCGCCGTAATTTTGCGGGCATGGGCGCAGCTGGCAGGCCCCGACTACAGCGACGCATTGAGTTTGCAGAACGCCTCGAGGATGACATGGAGCAGATCCGTGTTTTATGCGAAATGGTCAAACAGCGAGAAGCCGAGAAGCTCAAGGACGTCCTGATACTGCAGCAGATCGTCGATTGCATATACTTCCCGATCCCTCAACTCCTTCAGCCTATTCTGGTGCGAGCGCAAGCGTAAGTAGCACATTGCTGGCTTTAGATTTTCACTAACCTTTCAATAGGCTCGATAGTAGAGGGTATTTTACTGAAGGATTCAACAATCTTCAGACAAAACTCGACGAGAAATACTACACGTCAGTGCAGACGTTCAATGACGATGTAGCCGCGGTGTTGAGCGCAGAGCTCGGGTTCGCCGCGGTCACAAACGTTGGCGAGGCCGAAGAACAACTGAACAAGGTCTCGCATAGCAGTTTGACCTCTGAGCAGAAGGAAATGAAGAAGATCGTAAAACGGATTACCAAAGTTCTGCAACCTCACTTTGAGGATGCGCTTAGGAAGGAGTCTGAGCTAGCTGGCCGTCCTTACGAGAAGTTGCCCGATCTGGAGACGCTCCTCAATGAAAAGCTACAACGCAGACCTAGCATTCTTTCACAGGCTGAGACTGTTCGACAAACGACGGAAACGGACCCGACGGCTATTGAGCAAGCTCAAGAAGAGGCCGTTGATGGGGAAGAAGCTGCTGTGCTGAACCAAAAACCCGAGGAGATGCAGATGGCGCCCACACCTGACGAAAACGCTGCAGATGCACATCATGCGCATGATGAGGCGGCGGACGAGGCAGCCATTGCTATTCAACTCGGACAGGACGCTCTTCACGTATCTAGGAACCAGCCTCAGAGTGCAGTAACAGGATCTCATGCCGAGACCAATGGCCGTCCCGAGCCTCTGACGCCTCCAAGGTCTGAGAAGAACCTATTAAACCCCCTCGGCAATGGCGGTGTCCCCTGGTATTTTGAGACTTTCGACGTCCACGGTACTACTGTCTATGAGGAACGGTACACTGGCCGAGAGGTACTCCGAGACATGAGCGAGGAGCTTAGCGAGCTCGATGATGACGAACTAGACGGTCTGGCTGACTCGGATCCTATTCGGCCTACTGACACACCCGACTCCAACGTGGCGGCGATCAAAAAAGCAGTTGCACGTAAGAGGCAGAAGAGGTCGAGAGGATGGTAGACGATGGGTCTAGTTCTGCTTTTCACTATTTTCTTTGGCATGCACTCCTGGAGGCATGTCTTGTATTATCATTGGCATTTGTAACATACCTACCTTACTGGGTAGACGAGGTGCAACTGGCGCATGGTGTTCACTTACAGGGCTGCGACAGATACCGCATTCGATGGGTTGTTTCAGCAGAGCATCTTAGTAGGAGTAATTGGGTGAAGCCAGTGGCAAGGCGTCTGACGGGGTTCGGTTAACGAAGCGCCGATTGCGATAGGCTTGAATATGAACATAGCTGGCTACAACACGCCCCACTGGTAGCGTCTTGATAAGTGATGCAGCGTGTTGGGAAAGTCTTCGACAAGTAAAGTAGAGCCTTGTTCTGTGAGAGACGGCGGTTCACTAGTGATGTTGACGCACGTTGATGGGCAAGACAAGGCGGCCAGGGCGCTGGACGTTTACCCCTAGCAGTTGCCTCACTTCGGGCGAGCAGTTGCCTCCAGGACAGCTCCTGTGTCAGTACCAGGTAGTCGCCTACAAATAGCATCTGGCTTGCCTGGCACCTCCACTCTCTCATCACATTTCCCGCTTTTTACTCCACTCACTTGCAGCGCTGCTGGCCATTAGCGCGACGCTTACTAAGTAGAGACGCGGCTACTGTCGATCAGTCCTGCCAAAAAATCGCCCAACTCGAAGCTTCAGCAAACACCTTTCCTCAACCAACCAACTATCAACTCACCCGACCCACCACAACATCATCACCATGGAGTACGAAAACGAACAGCGCGGCTACGATGGTTTGTCTTTCGCCTTGTGTGATGATTGCGCGAATACTGACTGGATTGCAGACGAGCCTCGCGGCTATGAGCGCGATCGTAGCAGGTCTCCGCGTGGTGACCGACGCGACGATGGCGCGCGTGCCCGCAGTGCCTCACCTGGCGGTCGCGACAGCCGGTATGTATCTGCTTGCTCGCCTTGATGGAACTGTTGACTAACACTTGCTCAGTGGCCCGCCGCCAGAGCGTAGGGATGATGACGATGAGAGCCGTAATTCTGGCTCCAACCTCTTCGTCACTGGAATTCATCCTACTCTTAGCGAAGAAGAGGTCACCCGTCTCTTCGAGAAGTACGGCGAGGTAGAGCAGTGTAACATCATGCGCGATCCTCACACTAAGGAGTCTCGCGGTTTTGGCTTCGTCAAGATGGTCACCTCTGAGCAGGCTGACGCAGCGAAGGAGGGTCTTCAAGGAGAGGTCCATCAGGGCCGCACACTCAGCATTGAGAAGGCTCGCCGTGCGCGTCCCCGTACTCCCACTCCGGGCAAGTACTACGGACCGCCCAAGCGTGGTAAGTCTGATTACTGTCTGCACTTTACATGCCGTGCTAATAACAACTCAGAGTTTGGCGGACGTGGCCGAGGGGGCCCTCGCTACAACGATCGATACACTGATGACCGCCGCGGCGGATACGGTCGACGCGATGACTATGGTTCCCGTAGCTCAAGATACGATGATCGCGGCTACGGAGGTGGCGGCCGCCGCGATGACTACGGTCCTCGTGGTGTCGATCGCTATGCCTCTGATCGCAGCTACGGTGGCAGGGATGGCGGTCGCGATGGCGGACGCGATGATCGTCGGGGTGGTGGAGGTGGCTACTACGACAGGCCCCCACCCCCAGCTGCTGGCGCCTACGATGCACCTCCTCCGCGTGAGGCGTATGGTGGAGGACGCTCGTACGAGGGTGACTACGATCGCTCATACCGCTAGCTCTCCGCTAACCCAGGCAGAACCCAAGCGGTACTAAGTTAGGGTTCGTATGGCTTCCTCAGTTTGGCGCCTCTCTCTCTCTCAGCACTTCATTCCTGTAATCCTATGGCTACTTCACTGGGTTCAGTTTAATACGGCTTTCACACGCATACAAAGGAAATGTGGTCGACAAAAGTTCTTCGATATGGTTCGCAGCAGCGCAAGGTAGGATCACACCATGGTCTGCCGTCTTGCAGCGCGACATCGTCTTAGCCTTCGTCGGCTCGGTATTTTCCTTGGAGAAACGGTTCAGCACTTCGGTAAATGCTTTCAGGGCAACGTCTATAGCCCTTGGGAGCACCAGTCATCTTGATCGACACCAAATTGTACTTCTATCTACTGCCTCACGATGCAACCTGGACGTTCAGTAACCAGTCCACACCACCTTCCGCATGACCAGCACTGTCTAAATACTCTTACTATCATCCACCATGACCGCAATCCATGTCAACGCAGCCCCCGACCCAGTAACATGAAGGGCCTGCATTCACCGACCCCCGACTACTGCAGCAATCTCGCAATGTAATTTCGCCCAACTACGTAAGGAACATTTGTCGAGAAGCAGAGACAAAGCAGCTTGCACGAGTTCCAAAAGTCACTCCATGCCAGAGTCCGTGATTGTTGCCTGCCGACGAGTCGCGATTGCTCTATGCAAACGGACAAGCGGTGCATGCATGTCTGGGCTCTTAAAGTCAGGTACAACCGAAGGTGCGTGCCCTCCAATTTCGTTTGTGTCACTTCCTTTTTCGTCATACGTGCCTTCCCCATGATGACACTCACCGCCGGAGTGTAGACTCCACACAAAAAGGTAAAAGTAAGCGACATGTTCTATTACCGTTTGAGGACGTAGAGCAGAATTTTCAATGACCAACTATATTCTGGTCGTGCTAGGACGCGCATAGATTGTGTCGTTGCGTAACAGCTCGGCTCCAGTATTGCGTCCAAGTCCTTGCGACCAAGGAGGCTCAGCTGCCTTCGTCGCACGTAGACTGGGGCTGCGACTATCATCCCTGGGCCACCACTGCTGGTGTTGGAGCGTCCATAACCATTGATCAAACAACTAATCATGAGCCTGACAAGCTGGTAATGCGCCTGAGCGCCTTTAGTTCCTGTAGTTTTTGCACGACCATTTAGTTCACGTAGTCTCGAATGCAAAATTGATTCACAGAACGCTTGTCTTCAGTGCGAACGCGAAATGCTGTCGTAACACTTGTACCTGGCTAAACATTTAAGCTGTTCTTGGATGATGCACGGGAACCGCGGAGTCGTGGGGTGCACCGAATGGAAGGCCGATGCAGGGCTATAGGCAGGGTTAAAGGGAGCTGTTAGCGGCCCGTCTGTGGCATCTAGCACGACCAAACCTCAGCCCAAGTCAATCATCACCACCGGTGCGGCGCCCGCCGAGGGGCCGCAAGGTGCAACACCTGTGTCTTGTGTGTCATGTTCTGTGTGGCTAGCCACCTTTTCACAGTGTATATGTCATCTCTGGGTAGTGACTCCATCTTTGTCTTTCACATGTGCTGCGCGATCTCCATCGTCGTTCGTCACTGCGGAGCTTTCCCTGGACCCCAGTTGCCGCGCGGCGACTCCACCGTGGGTTGACAAGTCCGACACCTCAAATATGGCCGGCTGACAGTGCAACAGTATAAGACACGCCAGATCTCAGACTGATCTTGGCGATCTACGCCCTTCGCTCCCTGCCAGTCGCTCGCTCCCACCTTTTTCACCAACATGACCCGTCGAAACGTCATTCCTGTCCTCGCGCTAATCCCCACGCTGTTCGTAATCGCATTCTTGTTCTCAGGCATTGACACCAGTCAAGCATGGCGGGGCATACCACAACATGTTGGTTTGGGAGAGCATTTTGGGACTGATGAGCAGCCACCCTCTAGTACCGGCGGCGCCGAGCCGTCCAAAGACACGATCGAAGACCCAGACTATGCGAACTGGAACCCGAGACCCGTGTTCAAGCCAGGCTCGCCAATGCCGCCAGAGCACAACTTTACCTCGACACTGATAATTGCGAAGACGAAGCATGAGAATGTCAATTGGATACTGGAGAAGATGCCAGAGCAGCAGACAGCCGTCTATGTCGCCGATGATCCTTCCGCGCCGCTGCATCCGCCCAAGAACAAGGGACACGAAGTCATGGTGTATCTTTCGTGGATCATCGACAATTACGACAATCTCCCCGACGTCGCTATCTTTATGCACGCCCATCAATTGTCCTGGCACAATGACGAAATTCTGGGCAACGATGCGCATCTCCTCATAACCCGACTGAATCGACACCGCGTTTGGAGGGAAGGCTTCGTGAACATGAGATGCAGTTGGCATCCTGGCTGTCCCGATTGGATGCACCCTGGAAACACCGAACAGGATGCTCAGAAGCAGGAAGAGGTGCTCTTAGCGAAATCGTGGAGCGAGCTTTTCCCTCTCGACGAAGTACCTACCGTCCTTGCGCAACCCTGCTGTGCGCAGTTTGCCCTCTCGCGGGAACGTATACAAGCGAAGCCGTACGCCCAATACGTCTGGTATAGAGACTGGCTATTCAACACGCGACTCCCCGATCGCCTGAGCGGACGAATCTGGGAGTACGTGTGGCAGTTTGTCTTCACAGGTCAGAACATATTTTGCCCTAAAGAACACATATGTTTCTGCGACCAGTATGGATCTTGTTTTGGCGGCGAAGAAGCATATGAAAATTTCATGGCGCTCAAGAACGAACTCAGCGATCGAGAGAGGGATCTCAGGCAGTGGGAGGAGGAACGGAAGGAGATAGAAGAGGCACAGAAGAACGGCGACCAGGCAAAGTTGCAGGAGTTGACAATCCCCGAGCTAGGGAAAGATGACGAGTTCAGAAGAGAGATTGATCGGTTGAGGCCAATTGTGGACAGCCTAAAACACGATGCAGAAATTCGGGGACGAGACCCACGCAATCGAGCGTTGGAAGCTGGCAGGGAGTGGCATGAAGGCGACGGTTTTTAGCTTTTTCTTCCTTTGTATAGATACCCTGGGTATTTTGCAGGCGTATCTGGGTGCGATGGCATCTGGCGTTAAGTGTCTATGGCCTTTGGGGCTTTTGCTGGCATGCTATCTGGGTCTGACACACCGCTTCGTACTTGAAGACGGAGGAAACGAATGATACAAAACATCGCTTTACTTGCAACATGGTCTTTTCCCTGTTTTCATGTTGATCATCGACGCGTGTTGAGAGGAGATGGCTTATCTAATCGTCGCTACGGCCCGGTCACATGCGCGCGTGTCAATTGTGCAAACAAGACAAACCCTTCCATCGCGACGTCTTTGGCCCGCTGGTCGGCCCCGCTTGTCGTTCGTACACGACAGCAATCAGGTGTGTCTGCTGATCTGCTTCCCTACATCTCGCATCAAACCAAACCACGATCCCAATCTCTGCACCTCTACGCCAGATTACGTCGCCGAGATGGGTCAAACTGCAATCCGCCCTCTTCTCCAGTCGGGCCAAACTATACTCTGCTCTCTCTATCGAATCGCAAGTGTTGTTCTACTGCGCCCAAATCAAACCATGTACATGCTTCGGTGTCAAACCAAACCTCGTGGGAGCTTGCATACAAAAGAGATTCGGTGTCGCGTCCGATTACCAGACGCATCGAGTCGGATTCACTCGTAGCACAACTTGCATGGCCTCAGTTGCTCTCTTGTTCTCATACATTGACCCAAAGACTTACCATTTGTGTATTGACAGCTCATTTACCCGACCGTTCCCAGTCCTGTTTGGCTCCTACCGTCTGATCCGTCTGATCTCGGGGGATACGAACCACGATGAAGGCAAACGTTGACGCGCCATACTACCATATGCGCTCCGGCCAGTTCGTCACGACGTCCAACAGCGCAAACGCTGCGCCGCCCCGATTCGTGTCCGACGAGGATGAATATGACTTGTCCGGTCCCGCTGCTGTCGCATCGCCGCTCGAACATCAACTCAATCCACACCTGTACTCCGAACCCACTGCTCGTCAGATGTCAGACGAACACATACTGGAGGAAAACCATAACCTTGTCGAGCTTCTGGAGGCTGCGACCGCCGCGGGTCAGGTAGCGTATAGTATGGACACTGGACATGCTGTGACAGGGAATCTTACATCACGCGACAGAAGTAGGAGAAAGAGAGGTGCCAGTACCCCAACTGAAGATACTTCGCACCAAGCTGATGGGCTTGTTCACCTGAAGCGACGTAGAACTGGTGGACCTACTGATCCTCAACTTCAGGACCATGGCCAAGATATACATGGCGACTGTGCTGGTGAAACTGTACCGCCTTCCAGCGAGTCTCTATTGAACGATGCTCGTGCCGCAGGCGTACACTCCGCCGCTGCCCTCTTCCGTCGTTCCTCTGAAAGAACATCCCGGAAGTACACACGCCCTCCAATGTCAAAGCTATTCATGTCCCTCCAGCTCAGCCCAGAAAATTTTCTTCAATTGCAGGCTTTAGCAAAAGTCTACATGCTCGACACATCGCATCCAGAACGGCAGAATTGCGTAGGTAACCGTGGTAAAGGTGATACCGACATGGTCAAGTTACGGCTGTTCAATTGTGTTCGCGACTTCTTAAACGACGGAGTCGGCGAACAGTTCTTTGGCGAAGACGTTGAGAAGCCAGGCGAGAAGGACGCAATCGAAGCTGCCCGCGCACTAGGGGAGGACAAGACCCCTGATCCGGCTGAGAGATTGACATGGCCAAGAGATGGCAACAAGATTATCAGTCTGGTTACCCCGTTAATGCGACGCATGGTCACCAACGAGCGGCAGCGACAGTACGCGATCGAAACCAGGAAGGGTGGCACAAAGAAAAAAGACAAAGAAGGTAGTGTCGAAGCTGTGACTCAGCAAGGAGAGGACGATACAGGGCATGGAGTCGAGCAGCAACCGCGAGCAGTCTTCGATCGTAACCTTGTTCATCATCCGCATTCGTCACGGTCGATTGTCTCGTCGACCTCGATTCCGACGACAACTATTCAGGACTTCTTCCCTCCAAAACCGGAAGCAACCTTAGATACTAGAGAAAGTGTGGACTCTATACAATCAAGTGCAAAGGTAACGTTTGTTCGTAGACTTTATCGGAATGATTGACACTGCTAACCCGCCGACCAGTTGCCCACAAACAGTCCCACAGAACCAAATCTCTCTCATATCAACATCTTCCTTGTGCTCCCCTCGTCAGGAAGTAGACCGGGTAACAAGCTCGACGAGAAGCGCATCACAGCTGAAGCACAAGCACACTTGGCGTGGTATGACTACAACGACTTCATGAGAGAGACAGTCATTCTGCTCAAAGCAGCCAAACACAAGTACCCTGAATTAAAGACGGAAAATGTATTTCAGGGCGTTGAGCCTGGAACAGACAATCTTCGCGGACTTGCTGCTGCTGCCAACGCGCTACAGACGGAGCATACTCAGCATGAAGCACTTCCATCGACTGCTTGTCTCTCTCAGCATTCGTCAGCAGACGGCCCCCACTCTGTTCTTCCGAACCCGATTTCGACTCTCAACAATTATCCCATCTTCCCAAACGACAGCCATCAGGAAACCAGGTCTCTTCCCCGCTACACCATCAAGTCTATTGGTCCTCAGGGATGGCGCGATGTTCGCAACGCTGATGACTGGTATAGCGTTCTGAGGGAGAAGGCTTTCGCTGTGTGGGCTGATGGTGTGTGTAATGTGCTTGTCGAACTCGTCGACTTTGCTGGCGTGGCGGGATAAGTTTGAGCATGATATTGATGTCAGGAAATGGAGAGAATACGGGGCAAGTGTCGCCAGCCTAAGTGGCATCTGAAGTGCATACATGCATGACGATGGCACAGGTCTTAAAGCGTAGCGCGAATATTAATGTTCATCACATGGCGTACATTGTACAGAGTCTCTCATCCGATTCTCATACCAGTAACCCTGTATCATGCTGGAAACAATTCTCATCCCTTTACTCACCGTTTCCGTTTCAATCGCCACTGTTATACGCAAGGGCTCGACCATCAGGTGTGCCTGAGACCTGTAGTATTGTTGTCGGAGGTAAGTGTGAGTAGCTCACAACAACTGCAATGTAAACACAACAGGCATCGCTGCTCTACGTGTGGGCATTCCGTCTCATGTCGCTTCGTGCTGGAGGCTGCGATAAAGGTGTGTATCGGGTACCGGGAGCGATGAAGAGGCCGTGATAGGCAGGCGCGGGTGCCAAGCCGTCGATTGTAGCGAACGTCGTTCGCCCTTAACCCCTCCATGTCAGGCACCCGATAAGCTTTCGGGAAGCACGCCTAACGGTCGCGGTTACGTCAAGCGTCCCACCTCTTCACTTTAGTGTGGAGACGACTCAAGGTTGATCGTTCGATCGTGGTCTAGATGGCTTCATGAGTTTCGTGCTTACCTAGGTACGCTTTCACTATCGACACGCTCTGTTGCCAATCGCGGAGCTTGGGCCTACCTGACAATACTGGACTTCCAAGGGCACTGGTGCTATTCAAAGTTAGAACACTTATGAAGACGCCTTTCACCTACGCTCCCCCTCTTCCCCTTGTCACTTCCGCCCGCTGATGGCTTTCCAGAAGTCCGACGCTGCACTTTGGCCCCATGCGAGCCTGCCATTCCTCAGAACGAAGTTTCGCAGGTCGCACTATATGAAATAACCGTGTATAAACAGCCAATACCCAGCATCCTTTCGCACAGACTTCGACTGTTTTAACAGCTTCGCTATTATGTCACCGATCTCTACCAGGCGTCCCAAGCTTTTCGATTCTTGTTTCCTCTCGCCCAGTTGAAGCTCCCACCACACTAGGCTGATCGACGTCATACAATCTTTCTCAAGGCGTCCATAACACTGAGATGGGCGTTTTATTTGCCGCATAGTACCTGTGCGACTTCACTTTGCATTGACATGTCACGCGCGAATCTGGATGGGAGTCGATTAGCGCGTCTTTGGTCGACACTCAGAGATACCTAGGCAGCGAATACCTAATAGCGTGGCGTCGCTACATCAACTCTGTATAGGTACACGCTTTGCGCTCACATGCACTGATCCTTACTCTCATCTGTCATGTAGCGCTGTTTGATGGCCTCTTTCAATGATGGCGATAGAAAGAATCCCTGTGTCCACTGCAAGCGAGAAGTGCCGTGCTTCTCGGAGGTTTACGCGGGAAGCAAGTGCCGAAATCTGGACTTAATTGCGTTGGTGTCGCACTGTGACTATCTTTCGAACATTAACGCGGGGAAATTTAACGATTATGGCTGTTATTGGTTCCATACAGAGACGATTAATCAATGGGTAAAGCGTCTCGATATCACGGATCATCAACACCATGTAGCAAGGATGGTATGCCTACACCAAGATTTGGAGAGAGTGATGGTCCTGCAGCTTAAGTTGACAACTCATCCTTCACCTATTCTGCAGTAGGTACGCCCTCACTGAGCCAAGCAAAAACATAGGAAGATGAAGTGGTACCAGATCGCCACTTTCGCCGTACCCGCGCAGGCCGCACTACGTTTCGGATGCTCGACATTGAGCATTCAGCGGCTTGATCCGCTCGTTGAGCCAGGCAAACTTCCTTCCGCTCACGTTCACCAAATCGTTGGAGGCAATGCATTCAACGCGACTATGCAGGAAGATCCATCTACCCTAGCTACCTGCACTACATGCACATTCTCCGAAGACTTCAGGTATGATAGTCCTCGCAATATCCTGCTGATAGCTTCTAACAGGTGTAGCAACTACTGGACTGCAGCCATGTTCTTTAAGCATACGAACGGCTCCTACAAACGGGTACCCATTATGCAGAACAGTGCTTTGCCCAACGGTATTAACGGTGGCATGAGTCAGTGTCTTTGTATCATCACAAATGAGTTATGCACTGACTATGTACCTACTACCCTGCAGCTATCTACTATACGCAACAAGACTTCAACAGTAATGGTAATCAGAAGATAACCGCGTTCCCCAAGGTCAGTCATACCTTTCATTCAGCTCATGCACTGCTAACCTTCTCAGGGCTTCCGCATGACCGTGGGATCTCCCACCACCAACACTGTAGAAGACGCGAAGAAGCACCCCGGTCTTCGCTTTGTTTGTCTGCAAGACAAGAACACTCGTTTCCCGGAGTCCCCAGATTTCCCACCCAAGGCCTGCAAAGGCGGCATCATGACTGTGCATCACTTCCCATCGTAAGCAGCCTCCTATGCGAACTGTATGTAGGACAGATACTAACCTGATACGCCAACATCCAGATGCTGGGACGGCAAGAATGTCGACTCTCCCAACCATCAAGATCACATGTACAACACAGCCAAAGAAGCCTTCAGTCCCGCAGGTGCATGCCCATCTTCTCACCCAGTCCGCATGCCACAAGTCGCCTACGAGACGCTGTGGGATACTACGCAGTTCAACAACATGTGGCCCAAGGATGGCTCCAATCCTTTCTTCCTTTCTTACAATGACAACAAAGGCTACGGTACCCACGCTGATTACCTCTTTGGCTGGAAGGACGACAGTTTGCAGAAGGCTATGGACAACAGCTGCATGTTTCAGGCATGTGAGAATGGAAGACCGTTGAAGGTAAGTGATGCAACATGAGCTCTCGAAGTATTGAATGGCTGCTAACAAGTAATCGCAGAGCCAGAATGTTCAAGCGATGAATAAGTGCCAGGTCAAGAGCGCTATCAAGGAGGACCTGGATGGATGTAAGGGCATCGAATCTGTGCGTGTGTGTTGACAATCTGCTGACAATATCCATTAGGGCTCGACCATCTACCGGGTATGGCGATGTAGAGGAGTAGCGACTAGTAGCAGAAGCCAGGGCGCTTGTTTTATTCTTGCAATACCAGACTGTACGGTACATTCGCTCTCGGGCTTGCTATGCACACATTCAGTCGTTTCGGAATTATTGCCTTCTGTCAGTCATGTTATTTCCTCGGAGATGTGGTCAACGAAGGCGGGACAGGTTGCGTCGCAGCAGTTGCAGTCTAGACTTGATGGTAGGCGATGCCATCGCGTCTCATCAAGCCAAGGATGCTTTTTCTTCTCTCCAGACCTCCGAAACGCCATCTTCAGCCCATGAAGAAGGCATACGTATCATGCAATGCGACTTCATCGTGGTGTGGTATGGTGTACAGTATGCTTACGCACTTGCTCATGCATGCGACCCCGTGCTTGAACCTCGGGATGACTGCGGTTTCACTATCGAGGAGAATTGTTCCGATGCAGCCGCGACCCTTCATCTGTGCTCCGCCATTGCCAGACTGCAGAGGGCCGTGCATACCACGGAACCCACGTTGCGGCCACGTGGTGAGCATGCATTTTTCATGCAGGCGCTCGGACATTGAATGAAAGGCGCTGTCATGTTGCCGTTTCGGGAGGGTGCATGGAGTGGGGGAGGCGATTGCGCATGTACGAACATGGATGGGGATGGTTTGCAAATTGATGGAGTCTGGGTTGCTTTAGGGTTGCTTTTAACTGCCGGTAGGCATGGTATGGCGAGCAAGCTCGATGGCAGAGCGACTTCTAGATCATCATGACCTATGTTCTTTTTGGCTCTCTCGTTAAAGGTTGAATGCTGTGGTCGGAAATAACTGGAAGTAAAGGGGCGGCTGCTTGTGCCTTGATATTGGCTGCTCATCGTACCGTAGGACGGCAGCATCCTTGGGTACCCAAACGCCACAACAGGTGCTGGCTATCTGCTGCTAGGACTAGCTGCAGTTCCATCAGAGAAGCCAAGAATGCATTAATTAGCGTTCTAGAAAAGTCGGGCTGACGGCGATTGGGACATGCAGTGTTCTCCGCCGCAGTGAGGGCCTCTTTGAGGTACGTCTCATGATAACGCAAGGAGTTGGTCTACGATGGACCGACTACAGAGCCGACGTCAAGACCAAACCAGGAGCGGCAATGGGCGCGCGCACCAGCGGAGACCAACTGACCTAAGCAATACCGAGCCCTGTAGCGGCCAAGGTGGGTTCCCGCAGAAAAAACGTGGCATAGGCGATGCAAGCGTGGGCGGTGCTAAAGGGGATTGGCCGGTTGTCAGTCGCGGCGTGAATGGCTTGTCCTGGAGGCTGACTGCATGCATACAAGTCACTTTATCGAAATGCGAGTGTCGTTACATGCAGCATCCTTACGTGCGAGCGTTTCAGAGCAGCCTGGTGCTGGCTATGTTGCTGCTGCTAAAAGGGTAGCTCTGTGGGTGACTGCAGCCGCGGGTACATAACCACGCTGTGTTCCGCCGCATGTACACTCGGTGAGATGGTGGACAACGCGCCATCAAGACCGACATAGCACCATCCTTCTGCAAGGCTGACGTTTATCAACCCTACCAAACATTTGTGGCATCCCGTTGCGACTCGCTAACTATCGTTCCCCCTGCGCGTCCATCTTACTACTCACGCAGCCCCTTGCCGATCTGGGCCCTTTGAAACGCGCGACGAAGACAGGCTGAGCACAGGACTCCGACCGACTACACCCGTCTCTTCATCTTTCTCTACAAACGCGGCACAGACACGGGCATCTGTCTGTTCTACTTGCCTTCGCGCCCCCTCTCCTAGAGCCTTGAGTCGCGCATCTACCATAGGCACGACATCGACGTCGTAGAGGCCCGCTACCCCACGCCCACATAGCAACCACCGGACACGCCGTGGCGCGCATTATGACAAACTCTCTAGAGTCGTCGCGGCCCATGCTTGCCAACGTAAGTCATTCTCCCGTATCCACTGCCCGTTTCAGACGTCCCCTGCCTGTGGTCGATGCTCGCCGGGCAGCACCTACATTGCTTGCTCGACCGTACTCCTTCGCGCCTGCCCTTCCGCTTGCACTCACCATATAACCATTCGCCTCCCCGTCCCGTCCCGACACTACAACGCCAGCACCCAATACCACACCGCGACCATGTCGGAACAAGCACAGTCTAACGAAAAGAAACAACAGTCGGCCGCCAACCGCGCCTCCACCCGCATGTCTACTTACAGCGCCACACCTACTCTCACACCCTCCATCGCACCCTCGCACCTCTCGGCAGCCTCGTCAACCGCCGGCGACCCCAAGTCGCAAGACATCAAGACATGGAATGCCGGATTTGATCGCCTCGAAGACAAGCGCCTGGTCCAGCAACGGTACGCCCTCACCAACGAGAAGACCGACGACATGAGCAAGCTGGCGCTGGGAGCAAAGCTTGACCGCGCACTTGCCCGCCGCATGTCAGGTCAAGACGCCGTCTTCCGGCCAAAGGGCGTCAGCGAGAAGAAGGAGATTGAGACATAAGCCCGAGCAGCGGCACACGACACTTTCATCTTTCGTCGCCTGCCGAGACTCGACCGCTGCTCGCAGCCACGACGGTTATACATGCGGTCTTATTCTCTACTGGCACGAATTTCTGGGTTCATCATGCGAGATATCCTTTGGAGAGCGAGCGAGCACACAAACAGACATACTGGGGGGCCAGGCGGCCTATTGCTACACACCGGTGGCAGTCAAGAACCCAGTCACAGCATCTAGCAGAGCACTACCACGACTCCAAGATGCTTACTCAAGAGTGCTCTATTATCGCTCCTCGGGGCATGACGGCTCGGATTGACACTTCTTACCACTATACCAAGGCGTTGCGTTTCCTACTACTAATTCATTTTTCTTCTTCTTTCCGACTGCACTGTTACGGGCTTATCTCTGTGCCCGTCTGACTTTCCGCTTGATTATCGAATCGAATGAATACGAAATTCCTCTCAACGACGATGCACGTGAAAATGGATGTGGGACTTGAACGAACGCATAACGCGCGTCTTCAACTAATCCTCCTGCCATTACGAGTTCTGTGCCACTATCTAGGTTACGTGCTGGATGCGCCGTCAAACGTGTCATGACGGTTCGGCACATGCATGCTTGTTGATCCCTTTGTTTGTTCGGTGCCGATCACTGTCTTTTTTCGCTTCCTCTTAACGTCATTGTGGGTAAGATGGGTAAGGGGCTGCCCGTCCCTTCTTGATCGTCCCTGCTTCCGCCCATTTAGGCCACTACCGCTGTATCGGAGTTGTTTCCGCGTTTGACAGACCTGACAAGCCTTTGACATCCGAGGGACCGTTGGAGCTATGTAATTATTGATCAATAAAGGTAGACTGGCGCTTTGTTCTCTAGTTCATTGAAAACTTTATTGCAACGCGCTCTTGTCCACATTCCAGAAGTCTAAAGTGACATTGGGAGACGTGGTAGATGTGGCATGAACGAGCAAGAGAGACATGGGTAGGATGAATACGATTCATTTATGAGGTTTTGTTGATGGATTCACGTATGCGTCTCACGTTTTGAAATTATGCATGTGCCTTGGATTAATGTACTCCACACAGCCTATTGTAGCCGGCTTCCCGGCTCATCTTATATCTCCTCGGGCTTCATGATTTCAGCCCGCTCTCTCTTTTACAGACACGCATAGAAGCCCGAAAGCTGACAATACATATATAGGCCATCGAAAACATCCTAGACCAGTGGTAATACATTCCGCGAACATCCGGGCCCGGTGCTAGCCCCTTGGTAAACATAGCATGATATTGTTCTGTAGTTCGGATTATGAGAGCGCCAGATCCAGGCTTTTCCGATATGTTGAGCTGACATCGTAAGCTTGAGTAGCAAGGCTCAGCTGGTTCCGCCCTGTGGTGCGCTGTGGTGCACCATTTTAGACGTTCCATGTGCGATCGAATCCTCCCTTCTTCCTGTTCAGTTGTCGTAAATCTGTCTCTAGACTCCTCCGCACCCTGTCCTTCCATTCGTGTAGCAAGATTCTACCAGAACTTTCCCGTCTTCCTTCGCTCGTTGGCCAGCTCCAGCTGTTCCCTGATTCCTCTCAGTTCATCTCTGTGCCTCGAGTGCGTCTCCTCTAGTAGTCTCGCATGTTCCTTCTTCAATTCCACGAACTCTTCCTCTAGCTTCTCGTGCCAGGGGTAGAGGACGAATATCTGGAAGCAGAGAGCCGATGATCCGATGAGGAAGTTTGTGAGGGAAAAGGTACGTGTTATCATCATTGCGACCTTGTTTCTTTCGGTATGACGAACTAGGTTGTTGGTCCAGAAGGAGGGTTGAATTGGGAGATGAAACCAGTACAGGTCGTAATGAGCTGGACGGTAACGTTACGCAGAAGACAAGAAGTAGAATGGAGAGTGAGAAAGAGGAGTACAACAGCAGAAGACCGTCAACTCCGCGTGCGAAGCAACATTTTAGGCTCCAAAAGTCGCTCAAAGTAAAGTCACATGCATCACTCCCCTTACACATCGATTGGATCTTGGTCTTGAAAGTGGCATGATGGTTGCTGTTTTGGGCCAAAATGGACTAAGGCCCGAAAGAAAATCAGACCACTCAGTGCTGCGCGAAACGAACGGCATGTCTACGCATCGATGTACCGGCGCATTATCGGCGATTGTGAAGATATTACTATGTGCAAGCACGCGGCGTGGAAGAGAAGGAACGGTGTTCATGTGTTGCGGCAGACTAACCCCTGCGATACGTTGTAGTTTATTCGGTATTGAGATGGTGGCTCCTAAAATTGGGAGGCACGCAACTAGTGCGGCGCTAACCAGAATCCCAACGTGAGTTGGATACCATGAACGATTCTCCACTTCCGAGATTGGGTACAAAAGTTGCGGCTAAGGAAGCTGTTATCTCTGTTCCCTTCGCGATATGTTTCGCGGTAGAACAGAGATATTAAATACTATGTGCAGCGAGCAGACCCTCACGGCGATCTGCAGCTACTTGAAGCGCACGTCATCATGATACATGAGTGCGCAAGTATAGTGCAACTATACAACATCAACGCCCCAACATCCACTCTTCCCGATCCCTACTCTTACTCAATCAGAACATAATCCAGAAATCAGCAGGAGACAAAACTAGAATGACTTCTCCCAATATCGAACTCCTCACAGCAGCCACTCCAAACGGCCAAAAGATCTCTATTTTCCTCGAAGAACTCGGCATCCCCTACAAGACCACTTCAATTGACCTCTCCAAAGACGAACAGAAATCTTCTCCTTTCCTCAAAGTCAATCCCAATGGTCGCATCCCGGCCATCATAGACCACACCCGCAACTCCTATCCTGTCTTTGAGTCTGGGGCCATCTTTCTCTATCTTGCCGAGCACTATGATACAGATTTCAAGTTCAGCTTCCAGGACAGTGATGAGGCGATGGAAATGATACAGTGGCTTTTCTTCCAGAATGCCGGCGTGGGCCCAATGCAAGGGCAGGCGAACCATTTTGTGCGATATGCACCCGAGAAGATCGAGTACGGGGTGAAGCGATATCAGAACGAAACGAAGCGGCTCTATTCTGTACTCGAAGCTCGCCTTGAAGATAGAGATTATCTAGCAGGCAAGGGTCGTGGCAAGTACAGTATCGCGGACATCACAACGTTTACCTGGGTTCGATGGGCACCATGGGCGGGTATTGAGCTCAAAGAGTTTCCGAAGCTGAAAGAGTGGTGTGAAGGGATCGAGAAGAGGGATGCTGTGAAAAAGGGCCTTTTGGTGCCGTCGGGTGAGGATCAGATCGAGAGACTAAGGAAGGATCCGAATGTACAAGATCCTTTCAAAGAGTGGGTGCAAAAGGGCCAGAAAGAAGTCGCGGAAAAGCATGGGAATTAACACGGTTCATGACGTGAACATATACTAGCACACTGTCTAGCTCGACGGCTTCATATATAGAGGATGTAAAATGGCTCAAGCACAATGGAGAGGTTAGTTTCAATCGTATGGTATAATCGAAGCAACGACGCGCCCTTGCAAACTTTTTTTCCATTGCTCTTCAAGTTCGACATACGTTCATCTAATACAATAAAATATTTGCAGCAGCCAAGATCGCCTTTGCAGTCTTTTCGACGAACTCCTCTGCTAGAGTAGTATTTCCTGCAACAACGGCCTCGGTCACTCCTGGATATGTAACCGGCGCATATCCAGTGTCAACTCCAGGAGCGAAGACAAGGTGTCTATAAAACTCTCTTCCCGGGAGGCCGCCTTCACTGACGAATCCACGTCCAAAATCGCGTGCCTTGTGGTTCAGCTGTGTCTTGAGCACCGAACTGTTTGAGCTGACAGCCATGTTGCGAGCAGCATTGAACTGCCGCGCTGCATCCTCGAACACAGCAACGGAGTTCTCCAGCTCTCCAAGATCAAGATTGACCTTTGCATTCGATTCTTCTACGATACCTTCCAATCCTCTTAGCCACGCTCGCATCTCTACCCCATAGTTCGCCGGCTCGAGCGGTACAATCTCATCGTCGACTAAACGATACAGCATCAACGCAAGGAACTTTCCGATGGCTGTGTGCATTACGAAACCTGGATCTGCAAACTTAGTCATCCAATGGAAGGAGTCAAAATTCGAGTGCGTGTGGTATATTGGATCGAGAGGCGCACGCGTGGTGCCCATGTCGATAGCGGAGATGCCGGCCCGATGTACAAAAGCTGTATAGTCGCTTTGCGCGCCCAATGTGTCAATTTCACCAGTCTTTTCTTCCCAGACATCGTATAATGTGCGGTTCTTGCCATGCGGCCAGATGACCTTTCGGGCTGTGGAAGTGGTGAGGGTATGGAGATCAGGGGTGGCACTGAAGTCAGGAATGGTGCCCGCTATGCCAACGTCAATGTTCAGGTAAGACACAACAGATGATGTCAACCAGGGGATGTACTCCTCGACCCATTCAGTACTGAAAACCTTAGTCAGAGTCTTCTTAGCTGGGCTGATATAGGTAATTCACCTTCCAACTAGACCGTACTCCTCAGCATCCCAGCTGCAGAGCACGATGGTCCGCTTTGGTTTCCAACCAGTCTCCAGTAGAGTACCAATGGCTTTAGCCAACTCAATAAGAATTGCGGAACCGGAGTGTGGATCAGCTATACACGTCAACGAATTGCTCAACGCATCCTTTCAGCATTTGTGACTTACCAGCCCCGCCAATCATCCAAGAGTCGTGGTGGTTGCCTACGATAACAACTTCGTCTTCGTTCGTACCATTCACAATACCGATGGCATTGTGAATCCAGTTAGTCTCGCCCCTCATAATGTTGCTTATCGACAGCACAGCTTTTGACGGTCCCGTGCTGTAATCAACCCCGTCTATTGCACCCACCCAATTCAGTCGATTCACAGTCTTTGCATCAACACCATGACCGTTCAGAGCGGCCAGCAGTGGTTTTGCTTCAAGCCAAGAGATTGGTAGACTCGGAATTTTCGGTACAGTCTTCTTCTCCTTTCTCACTACGCCCTCTTTAGACGGATATCCCGGTGTCGTGGGATCTCCTGGGTAGGTGCTCAAATCCATCACACTGCCTTTCTGGATACTTGTTGGATTCCTTGCAGGTCCATCGGGATACGTAGCGTAGTTTCCAGCTGTCATGTTCCTGTCGTCTCCCGGATCGGTGAAGATCACAGCTCCAATCATGCCAAAAGTCTGCGCATTCTTTACTTTAAGGCCGCGAAATGGACCACCGTATTTTGCTAGAGCAATCTTGCCTTCAAGGGTGATATTAAGGGCTAGAAGACGTTTGAAGTCCTCTTGAGAAGCTCGGCCTAACTAACTCAGCTTCTGATCTCATGCATGTGCTTTTTGGAGGAACGCGTACCAACGTAGATGTACTCAGCCGATGCATCACCTGACCCAGAGTACCCATGAAAAGCAGGAACTCTGCCAGCATCACCGGTAGGCCCATCCTCTTCGAGTATCTCTTCTTCGAGTGTTGCGTGGTAGGTACTACCGTTTCCATGGTCAAGAGAAAGAGAACGATGAACTGGGTAATCAAGGTAGACGTCTTTAGGTTCGATCAGCCCACATGTCTGAGCAACCAATAGAAGCTACCTACGATAACTGTCTAGTCTTGTTTCGAAGCCATGCTCATTCCAGCGTTCTGCAGTCCACTTTGGAACCGTTTCGCCTTCGCCTGCGAGGTTTCGTCTATGTGCTGTGAGACCTGATGAGCATTTTCAAAGGACGAGAACAGCAGATCAGCAAAGCAGTTCTTACAGTAGTAGCTCGACCACGATGCTATAGACGTGTTATCAAAGGAAGATGCCAAAATCTCTTCATTTACCGTCAAAGTTGGCGGGAAAACGGGAGCAGTATCGCGTCGTTCCAAATGGCGATCGTGGTGGCGGTAATGGTGTTCTTTGTCACATGCGTGGACACTGGGAGCATACAGCAATACCAAAATGAGTAGCATGACGGCCGCCTCAATGCTGTACTTGAAGATAGTGAAATTGGTATGTCACCCAGGTTTTTCGAAGGTTACATATAGTGCCAAGTGGCGGGAAATGCGCTTTTTAGCCAATATCCAGGGTTTGACACACCCCAGTAAATGTACTCTATTTCGATGCCGCCTTATGTGGAGTATTCCCCATATGCACTTATACCCCTGACTTTAGTATCTGTATGAGTATGAATCATGATGTAATAGGGAATATTATGTCTTTTCTCAGGCAATTAACATTCAACTTGTGATAGCGATACCATTGGACATTGACGATAACAGATAGCCATATATACTTTTGCACAAGATATTTTGCTTGCTATATACAATTTATCTGGAACATTTCTTAAGATCGTGCCACAGAACACATGGACCAGAGGGGTTTCCACTAAGCACTAACCTCAACGGTTGTCACTTCGACAGTAGAGCTCTTGGCCGCGTCCGCAGCAACAGGCTTTGGTTGAGGCAGGCTGTAAACATCAGTCTCATCCTCCTGCATGCCGCCCAACAACATGGAGCTTGGAGCAGCAGCCTGATCTGCAGGCGATGCAAGGAAAGCCAAGAACTTCTCATCATGCCACGTGCGTGCTGTAACGAATCTGCCCTCGCTGTCCTGGAACATGGTCTCGTCCTCAGCGCGCAAAAAGTATGCAACGGAGTAGCGATGTTCGCTGTAGTTGTACGGCACAACACGGTGAATGCACGACTGGAAAGTATGGCCACTAGCGAAGCGCAGAGAATCACCGACGTTGATGATAGCTTGACCCTTCTTGGGCTCGACAAAGCCGAATTCCTTGCTGCCGGGTGGGCGGATTTGGAGACCCCACTGCTCAGTAAAGAGTACGGTCAACGAACTGATGTCAGTATGCTTCTGGTGACCGACGTTACCGTCCTTGGCAGGGTTGGACGGGATATAGTGCATCATGGACAAAGTGCTTGTCGAAGGGCGGTGGTTGCGATGCAAGTTTTCAAAGCGCGCAGCACCAGTAAGGCCGAACGCCGTCGAGAGAGCTGCCAGAATGGCTTTTCCCATGATGTTGTTGCCAGAGATGGCATTCTCAAGGATCTTGAGATCACCGCTATTCTTGATGTTGCGAGGAATGTGAGGGGACTCGCGTTGAATCTCATCGCGAGATACCTTCACCATCTCGTAGCCATCCCGTGTGTCCTCGAGAACGCCGTTGCGCGAACCAACTGGCTCGTATCTGGAAATTGTAAATATTTGGAGAGGGCATATGCTATCTGGGTTTCTAGGCTTACCCAAGATGAGGAGCTATCAGTCCATATTCGTTCTTAACCTCAAGAGGAGACTCAAAAAATCGATGCATAAGCTTCAACAGCTCCTGGTGGTCATCAATGAACCGACGTCCATCAACGTTGTTGAGATCCAGGTAGAAGAAACCTTGCTCTTTGCAGCACTGGAGAAGCTTCTCCAGCTCGGCAGGCTCTTGGGAGAGAATCGCAGAGAAGTCGATTGTCTCCATAGGGTAGACCGGAACCTGCTTGCCGTTCCATTCGACCTTTCGGGGTACTTCGGTTACGGGAGCCATGTTGTCTGTTGGTGTGATTTGGTGTTGTACGGAAGATCTGGTGTGTCTGATCTTGTCGAGACTGCGGTGGTTGACTGTGTGCTTTTACACATTCTTTTCAAACTTTATACCAGTATTTGGTGTACATGCTTTGTATGCGAGCTGAGATGTCGTCCCCGGTCAGCTGTTAATTGGTGTTCATCTCGATGATACATCATCTGTTTCGTCTCCAGATGCAGAGATGGTGATATATTGAACCATGTTGCTCTTGACCCAGATTTTGACGGCGTTGCGTCGTACCCCGCTTCCTATGTAGCTACCAGTACTACGGTGAGGTCGGCATCTAGAGCCAAGATGACCCATTACAGGGTCAGCCTCGTAGCACGTTGTGTAAAAGGAGTGGACCCTGCTGTTCGATTGATTAGAACGATCTTCTCTCCGCATTGCAACGCCTCACGAATACATGCAGAGAGTGCACAACATACATGTGGAGATGATGTACCCTGTACGTCGGTCATCTATACGTTGTATGGATAAAGACCTATATTCAGGACACCTGGACATACCACAAATATGGCGTAATGATACTACTCGCCACTGCGAGACTACCAGTGAGATAATGGGATGTAATCTTTATGCAGTCACAAGTTTCTTCAACCATAGTATCGGCAGCTGGGCAGCAACTGCCGTAGATGGAACTGCAGCTGGTGGGGCTTCCGCGGGGGCCCTCGACCAGAACTTAGGGCTGCCGGCATGTCGCTGATGGCTTGAATTTTGACTGCAGTGTCCGGTATGAACGGTCGCAAATGTTTGTGGTAGTCGTCGAGTTGCTTTGCGAAACTAATATTGTGGAGGGATGACAGATTCTCCAATCATAGAAACGATTTTAGCTGTCATCTCTCGCGGCTGGCGCCATCACTCTGAACATTGACACTATGCAACAGGCTCAAACATCGCAACTGAGGATGATGTATGGTATTGGTACATATGATATAAACTAATGCTATGAAGGTTTACAGCTTCATGCCGAGCACCTTATGTACCCGCAAGGCCTGTCTAATTGACAAGTCCAACATAATCTCCTCGCTGCCACCTGGGATGGCATAGGCCCTGACATCCCTATATAGTCTCTCCACCTTGGCACCTTGTCCGCCACGGCTGTAGCTCAGACCACCGAAGATCTGACTTGCTTCTCTAGCACAGAACTCGAACGTTGTGGTACTTTGCGCCTTCAAGCTGGCAATAGCGCCACCAAGCTTCAGCATAGCCTCCATTTCGTTCATCTTCTGACACTGGTATATGAGATTCTCCATCCAGTTGTAACTCGCTTCGATCTGGCGGGCCATGTGTGCCAGTTTGAGGCGGATGACGGGGTGGTCGATGAGGCGCTTGCCGAAGGTCTTGCGCTTGTGTGCGTACTTGACGCTCTCTTCGTAGCAGACGCGGGCGAAGCGCAAGCATTGAATGATAATGCCGATACGCTCATGGTTGAAGTTGGTCATGACAACCTTGAAGCCTTGGTTCTCTTTGCCGATCAGGTTCTCCACGGGGACCTTGACGTCTTCGAAGGTCACGTAGGTGGTACCACTGCTCCATACACCCTGGCAGTCCATCTTGCGTGTGGAGACACCACCGGCGCTGCGCTCAATCAGGAGTACCGATACACCGTTCATGCCCTCGCCGCCTGTGCGTACGGCGGTGGTGAAGTAATCAGACCAGATGCCGTTGGTGATCCACTTCTTCTCGCCGTTTACGATGTAGTGTTTCCCGTCTTCGGAGAGCTTGGCTTCGCAGCCCAAGTTCGCAACGTCGCTACCAGCGTCTGTCACTGTCAGTAAGTTGTTCGGAAATTTCAACCAGGTTGGCAGAACGTACCAGGCTCAGTGATGGCGAGACAAATCCTCTTCTTTCCACTCAGGATGTCTGGTCCAATGCGCTGAACAAGCTCCTTCTTGCCGAACTTGAACAGAGGCGGTGCGCCGATGCCGTATCCTCCGATCAGACCCCAGACAAGACCACCACTGCCTGTTCTTGACAGCTCATCCGTAATGATCATCTCGTGGAAGTGATCCCACTTCTCCGGTGGCACACATTGAACTCTCCGGTCTGTCAGTTCTTTGGGAAAGTGGATGCCCAGCATACCAGCAAGGTACCCGCGCTCGCCCATCTCCTGGTATATCTCGTCGGGTACTTTCTTTGCTTCGTCCCATTCAGTCACGTTGGGCATAAGTTTCTCTTCGACCCATTGGCGGACTTCGTCGCGGAGGGCTACGTGTGTATCGTTGAAGTAGGGAGAGTGGTACTAGGCTTTGTGTTAGCGATGCCAATGTGTCGTCCGTAGGTTGACGTACCGTTTGGTACCAGGATGGGTCTGCGTAAGGGATTAGGTCGCCATAAGCATCGAAAGGCTCAGCCTCCTCAGCAGCGGCCTCAGTTGGCTGTGGCGCTACAACACCAGAGTTGGCCTCTGGCTTGACCACATCCTTCTTCTTCTCCGCCTTCTGTTCGGGGGCAGCCGCTGCTGGAGGAGCCGGGGGAGCAGCCTTGGTGTCTAGCGATCCGACTTGGAGCTTCTGGTACTTCTTGAGGATGCTGTCGTTGTGATACTTCCAGAACTGCTTTGAGGCGTCCTTTCCTGCGACGCGCGAAAGAACTTGGAATAGTTAGTCTTGGGTTTGAAGTTTGCAGAACAAGCGCCAACATACTCTTCTTGCCTCCGGGATGCTCTTCCTGGAAGTTGGTCAGATCGTAGACATCCTCATCTACAATGATCCATAGGTCGCTCGCTGTCTTGTGCGACGCGACGTCAGCTGCTGAGAAACGTTTCGACATGTTGATCTGTCAATGTGCAGAGGGAGGAGAGGGTGCGAGTAAGGAGAGCAGAACGATGAGGTGTCACTAATCACAAGACAACCCTTACTGACTTATAAGAGGCTTAGCAAGTTTCGGGATCCTTTCACATGCCAGCAACTACTCCACGCGCCAAGGTAATCCGGGGAAACCGCCAGCTGCTGAAGGTCGGCCGCATATAGCGCATTCCGGAGTGCAGCGAGCCGCTGTCTGATGATCTCGTGCGCTGCTTTGCGAGCGCTGCAATTGGTCGCTGCCGTCATTGACCGGGTGACTTGCTGTTTGAAACTTAACGTCATACGCGTAGATGCCGAGGTCATTTCAAGGTTGCTGCATTGGGACGCTCACGTGTCGACATTTCCGCGGCGCGCATTCTTCACATGCCGACAAGCAGATGCTGACATTCAGATGCTTGACGACCCGTTGACATGATTACTTTGATCCTGGGTAGGACGCGACATTTCACGTCGTTAAGCTAGGACCCCAGACCAAATTGACTGGCAATCCTTCCAACGCGTCGCGTGTGGGGTCTCCGCATCAAGCCGGCGTCATAGCTCGACGCCTCCAACTACTCCGTCATGGAACCTCCTACTTGCCTGCTGTTCGCGATTCAGTACTTTTGCAATACGCCATGTCTCGAGAGGTGCAAGTAAAAAAAGGATCCGAGATCCAGGCTCCGGATGGTCCGCAGACCGACGGCATGATTCGCATGCCTGCAATCGTAAACATGTCAGATCAGTTATGTGGCACTGGTAGGACCGACATAGTTTACTAATTCCACGACTGCTGACGGCGATAGTCATGATTGCGAAACCTCATACAGCCTCTGCAGTCCATCATCACGGCGAAGAAGGTGTGTCTCGAATCGTGCACCCGTATCATCCGCTCTACACGAACCAGCGTTCGTGCAATCTTACAGAAGCAGCAATCTGATAACTTGGCAGACACCATTGTGTACGCAGCAAAGGGCCATGGCGCCATCGTGAGCGGATCAAATGGTAACAAGAGACAAGAGCTAGCACCGGGAGATTTTGCACTTATACCCGCGTATGCAGAGCATCAAGAGATCAATGAGAGCGACGAGGATGTCGTTTGGATCATCACAAGGGGTGGCAGGAACCCTATCGTTCAGAATCTCGCGGGTTGGTCAAAGGACTAAGGCTCTCTCAGAACAAGTCTTAGTGCGAGCTTTCTATGCACACGAACATGAACATGAACATATCGGGACTTCGGATGATGTTTTTGCACGTTGCGTTGTACAATCTACCTACATGACGGTAGCTTTGCATACGGCCCGGCAGGTGTAAATCACTGAGACAATTCAGCCACTGCTCAGTAATTAAGCAGGCGGGTGGTAATTTTCCAATCAGTTACGTTGTCTCCCAACATCTACGTCAGATACACCTTCCTTCCTAATCGTTGATCGGTTGACGCAGGTGTTACAGTCTTAATAGCGACTTGTCGCTCACACATGTTGGTATCATGAGATCTCATTGGTCAGCTGGCTATCTCATTACACCCCACAATAACCAAAGGTACAGCATATAGCACGGCACAAACAGCGGAACATGGGGCATTATATACGGTTATCGGTCGTTTCTATTCGTACTCTTGGTCTATCTTCATCTTCTTCATACCCCTATACTGCTTGAACCGCCCGGACCGATCGGCATGCACGGCACCTACGGCATGCATAGCCACAAGTTAGCCACACGATAGATATTGCGCTATACATACCGTCAAGCGGATAGTGCTCATTGGAATCCGAGCTCTCTGGGCAGTATCGACTGGTACCTGTTTAATTTCTTTTTCGAGGTACCAGTGACGCTGGGAGTGTGGATGCGACTAGTACTCAGCTACGTACAAAACGGCGCATGTTTGTAACCTACCCAGCTTGACAGGCTCTCCATCACAGAATGATTTACAGCATGTTCACTCTGCAGACTGCGATCATGACAGTCTTTGCGAGACTATCTGTCCTAACGGTTGTTTATCGGTCCTTAATACTCATCTCAGCTGTATCCGTGCAGGCACAGAATGATTACAGCCAACATGTCAATGTGTTGTAAGTAACACGTTCCATTTTCATCATTGAGATACTCACAGCCACTAGTCAAGGAACACAGGGTGGTGGAAACAGGTTTCCAGGCGTAGTTGCCGCTCCATTCGCCATGGCCAAGCTTGGACCAGACGTTCAGAATGGGAATGCTGACGCCTACTCCGGTTACCTCCCCGAAGGCAACATCTTCGGATTCAGTATGATGCACGAGTCCGGAACTGGAGGCGCGCCGAAATACGGTGTTGTAAGTCAGATGCCCGTTACGGGTGATGTACCGGACCCTCTGGCGGATTTGTCACAACCGCGAGCATCACCGGATCAAGCAGGTGTAGGATACTACAAGTCTTCGTTGGCAAATGGGGTCACAGTAGAGCTGAGTGCTACTCAGCATGCCGGCTTGTACTTGTACACCTTTCCAGATAACACATCGTCATCTATCGTAGTCGATGTTTCGCATGTACTCTCCAGCTTTAGAGGCCTTGGTTGGGAACAACATTACTCAGGCGGTAGTTTCAGTATCTCTAACGATGGTCACTATGAGGGATCTGGAATTTACAACAATGGTTGGAATCTTTCACCAGACTGGACGATTTACTTCTGCGGCAAGTTCAACCAGCAACCTCTGCGATCAAGGACATTCATCGGAAATGCTAGCGCCACGAGCGAGCCGGTATCTGGAACTGCACGGCTCGGTGGCGTTTTCACATTTACCGCATCAAAGGTGACTTCTCGTGTTGGCATCTCATTCCTCTCTACCGACAAAGCTTGCGAGAACCTAGAGGAAATCTCACAGGACATCGAGCTCAATAGCCTAGTCGAAGTTGCAAGAACTAGATGGAATGAGGAGATACTCAGCAAAGTCCAGATATCCTCCGAAAACATAGAAGACTTGCAGTTGGTATACAGCTCTCTTTATGGCATGTTTCTCATTCCCTCAAACCGAACAGACGAAAACCCCGATTGGAACGAAGGGGAACCTTATTACGATGACGTTTTTTCTCTTTGGGACATCCATAGATGTCAAACAGCCCTATTTCACATCATACAGCCCCTGGCATATGAAGAATTTCTTCGCTCCCTCATTGACATCTGGCGACACGACGGCTTCATGCCTGATGCGCGATCTTCAAACTACAACGGCCGGGTCCAGGGCGGTTCCAACGCTGACAACGTGCTCGCGGACGCCTACATCAAAGGCGTTCGAGGAGCAATAAATTGGGAAGATGGCTTCTCTGCAATGCGTACCGACGCCGAAGTCGTACCTCCAAATAATTTCGACCCTAAAGCGCCTGATTCTTCAACCAAAGAAGGAAGGGGAGCCCTCCCAGATTGGCTCCAGTACGGGTACATCACGCCTCGCTTCACCCGCGCTGTTTCACGCGCAGTCGAATACTCCGCGAACGACTACGGTCTTCATGTTGTCGCAGCGGGATTAGGCAGAACCCAAGAAGCATCTAACTACCTCAACCGATCCCGCAACTGGCGTAACCACTGGGACCACGCAGCTACGTCTAATAACCACACTGGCTTCATGGTTCCGCGTTATGCAAATGGTTCATTCGCAAAGCAGGATCCTGCGATCTGCGGTGGTTGTTACTGGGGTGATGCGTACTATGAAGACAGTAGTTGGATCTACAGCATGAATGCAATCCATGACGTCGCGGAGCTAAAGCGGCGTATTGGCGGCGACGAACGCTTCATTGACCGGTTGAACAAAATTTTCGAACTAGATTTCTTCGACGCGGGGAATGAACCTAGTTTCACGACACCGTACTTGTACAATTTTGTGGTCGGAGAGCAATGGCGGAGTGTGGAGAGAAGTAGGACGATTGGCAGGCTGTACAATTCTGGGGTGGAAGGGTTACCGGGAAATTCTGATGCTGGTGCTATGGAAGCAAATCTTTTAGTAAGTGATCTCATTCTCATGGTTAGGCTTCTTTGGAGTCGTGACTAACGTTCTGAACAGTGGCAAATGATTGGTCTGTATCCACTGACAGGTCAAACTACCTTCCTTGTACTTTCCCCCTGGTTCCCTCAGCTTAGTCTCGACCTTGGGAATGGGAACAAAATTACCATTACTACCACCTTCAGTGACGGTGGCGATCGGAACTCGGCACCCTACGTGCAGAGCCTGAAGGTCAATGGCAAGACGTGGGACAAAGCGTGGGTAGCTTGGGAAGATGTATTTGAGAAGGGTGGTACGATGGAGTATGTGATGGGAAGCAGTCCTAGTCGTTGGGCAACGGGTGAGCTACCGCCTAGTCCAGCTTCATTTAGATGACATGATTATGGATCTCAGCAACGACTATTTCGAAGGGTATGCAGCAATAGTATCCTGGTGAACACAAGAACATAAGATGGTAGCCCTAAGAACAAGATTACTTTGAAGACGATGATATGTCATCAGTATGCTATATGCTATACAACGCGCTTCGTCTGTCAATACTGCAAACGGAGCATGGCAAGAAAAGAAAAGTCTCAATTCAAGCATCCATAGTCCAATAATCGATAAGGCTACCAAAGTTCATGCCTCATGCCGCTGTGCGCCGGCACCTGTCAATGCGGAATGCACATATAGTGAAACGAAGAGGTAATGAGATTGAAACGCCTGTGCAAGGTCCTTCACGACGGGGGCGTCTCATCAGGGTGCACATGGTCGAGATGATGCCCGGTTGAGAAGTAGCCCATATGATCCGATGGAGTTTTAGGCAAAGTCGACTCCCACAACGTCCGTTGCTCTCCAAGCTTCTGCTTCCGTCTTTCCGTGTTCGGAGCGTCTGCGATGTATCCTTGTGCACGCTGCAAAAGCTGTGGCTCGCTCAGGCTCGTGGGCAATGTAACAGCCTGGCGCCATTCGTTTGCCCATGTGTTTGCTCTGTTGTGTCCTTGTTTGCGAGGGGCTGTTATGGCAGCACCATCATCTTGACTGCCCAGTATTTCCAACCCCGGCTTCCTTCGCACGCGTCGCAGTTTTTGGGACAGACCTCGCCTCACCGGTTCATCCGTCATTGTCATCGCCATCATCGTAGTAACAGCATCTACAGACTCTTGAAAGTCTTGTTCTTGTGGTATGGTTGCCGTTTTTGCGATAGTTGGCGATTCAGGGAAAGGGAAACCGTCGGCATCCTACACCAGAGTACAAGATTAGTAACTTTGAGGTGCGTAGTGTGCGGGCTACAAGCCAAAGTCAGTACTGCTATAGATACAATGGGGAGCCCTGAATCAAACAAGACCCAGTAAGCTCAGTTGCGATACGTACTGGTGAGTTGAGCATGCTTTGACGCTTGTTTCGGCTCTTCTTGATATGGCTCTTGAGTGCACTCGAGTCGAGGGGTTTGAGAAGCTCGAAACTGCATAATAATTCTCCTGAGACTGACATGACGGCGCCCCAATTATCGAACTCGCCGCAGTACTAGGCAGTATTAGCAGAAACCTAATAGTGAGAGCTTCAGTAGCGCTTACATTTGGTGCTGAGAATACAGTGACCAACACTCGATCAGTAAAGAACTCATAGCCATCCTCTACCACCATGTGAGCTCTGCAAACAAGGTCAAAGTCGTGTCTTGCCAAGAACTCCATGATGACCTTCTTTCCGAAGCAATAACTGACGCCTCTCTCATTGGACTCCCAGTCATTCTCCATATCCGCAGGATCACTCCATAGCAGATCGTTCAATAAGCCGTAGTCGGGCACGTCGGTGGGTCGCGCAATCTGCCTGATATCATCCATGTGTGACAAACTTGGGGACAATCCACCGTGCACACAGAAAATCTTCTGCGCAACAATAGCCGCGATAGGGAGTGTGTTGAATGTATCCACAAAAGCCTTCCAGACTTTGATATTGCATCTCCTCTTACATTCGTCGTAGAAACCGTATACACGTGTAACGTTTGCGCATTCGTGGTTGCCGCGTAGGAGGAAGAAGTTCTCGGGGAACTTGAGCTTGTAACAAAGAAGGAGTAGGATGGTTTCCAAGCTTTGCTTGCCGCGATCTACATAGTCGCCTAGGAATAGGTAGTTGGAATTTGGTGGGAATCCGCACATCTCGAACATGCGGATCAAATCAGTGTACTGTCCGTGGATGTCGCCGACGATCTTGACAGGTGGAGCGAGCTCAAGCAGCGCGGGCTGGCTGAGAAAGACTTCTCGAGCGGCCGAGCAGATTGCGAATATCTCAGCGTTCTTTAGGCTGACTGTCTTTGTAACCTTTCCGGCATAAGCTGCGTCCAAGAGTCGCTGAATCATATCGTCGAGATCCATGGTCTTGAGCGCGGTGAGCTCCATGGGAGAGCCCGAACCGTCAGTGGGCGCGGGAGGCTCTGGGAGTCTGGGTATCGGCTGGTCCTTCCTCTGCAGAATTGACTCTCCCGGCTGAGCAGAGGCCAAAGGCTGTGCTGCTCCTGTTGGAGGGACGTCAGAGACGTGGTCGACTTCACCGGTTCGCTGAGCCTTGCTCACACCTTCATGTCCTGTTCCGAGAGTTGCACCGTGGACAGGCGAAGGCGGCGCTTGCGGTTCGTCTTCGTCTTGATCTTGATCAGCCTTATCAGCAACATCTGGAGACGCGTCTGGTGGCACGGTTGCTGAAGCTGAAGCGACGGAGCCCCGCCGCGATCCTCTCGACTTGGTGGAAGCTGCATCTGATTTGTCAGCTTTGCCGTTGGCATCGTTAAGACCAGCGACTGAGTTGCGCGGGCTGTCGGATTTGCCGGTCCCTGGTATTTTGTTCCGTAGCGAGCTGCGTAGTGAGCGCGTAGAGTCTTTGGTGTCTGATCTCTCGAAGGAGCGGTAGTACTCGCGACCGAGGGGCACGCCGTCAGCACCGCCCTTCTCGCCCTTCTTGTCCTTGCCGCTCGATTGCTGGTTGCCCATGATGGCGACTGTGGACTAAGCGAGCGTGTATACAAGTCTAGTATGTGGGTATGTTTTGGAAGAGAGCAGTCGTGGGTGTTCCCATACAGTGGGAAAGCGACAGCGGCGGTGTTTGTTGGGGTGTGAAAGACGCGGCGATGGGACGCTTGGGTCCTTCCAGAGATGCCCGGAAGCGACGATGCCCAGTGCAAGCACGCTCTCAGGTGATGTGTAGAAAAGGAAGGTAGGCCACGCGTAGAGAGGGCGTTAGGGCGGTCGGTAGAGGCGAGCGAGAAAAGCAAGGAAGCGTGCCTCCGTCGGCGCTGTCGTTATCTGCCTCAGAGACTGGCAGGCGAGGCTGGGCGAGGCGACGGGGGAGCGATCGTCTTCCAGCGTGCGCGCCAGGTCGATGGTGTGCGGGCTGTGGGCGGGTTGGGCAGGCTCACGATGTGCGGGCAGTGGCTGTGCTGATGGGACTGGGTGTCGTGGTAGTGATAATAGTAGTAGTAGCAGCGATGATATCAGCCTCTACGCGAGCAGAGCGGGGATTTAGTTGCGATGTCAGCCGCAAACCTTAGTTGGAGCCAGGGCATGGGCAGTGACGCTGGTGGGCGAGCTGGCGTCGTTCGGGCTCTGCGGACCGGTGAATAGCAGCGTTGGAAGCACCACTAGCGCATCAACGAGGGCAAACTAGCAGGAGCCCAGACAACCACAAAGTCGAGGCAGTACACAACCTGCACTGCGAGAAGACGGTGGCGACAGAAACAAGGGGACAGCTCGAGTGATTCTCGTGAGAGGGGCAGACACGGTGGAGAGAGTGCGCCGCAGACAGTAGCGAAGTTGGAGAGAGCAGGCTGCCAAGATAAGGACAAGGATGACGACTGGGCACCCAAAGCGAACCGCCTCTTTTCGGTATATCCGACCACATCCTGAGCGACACATCACAGACGCTGCCATGGATAGCGTACACGCGCCGCTGCACACCTTCACGTGCCCATGGAAACACCTGCAAAATGCCAATCCTGTTCAGAGAGCCGCTCACACTGACCCCACGAACGACATCATGGGCCCACCTATCAGCAGTTCGCCCAAGCTGTGGGAATAAATAAACTTGCAGTTCCAACGCTCCTCGGAGCCCTGTTCTCCGCTAGTCGCTTTCGAGAGCTTGCGCAAGCATTCTTGCTCCGCTGCTAGGCGGCGCGACTACACTGTTGCACATGCGCCCAAGGTCACTTTCCACATCCCGCCGTTGCGACATTTTCTCTCGCTGCCCAAGGGGTATTGAGCGCGTACCTGCAGAACGTCACACGTGTCAGGAGAGCCATGGCTTTACGACAAACACTTTTCACCGACATTTGCATTCATGTTGACTTGTGCCTTCTCCACTTCCTTTAGCACGTCAACAGCCCAAGCCGTGGCGCCAAGGGCGGATATCTTGGGTGCACATGTGACTTTATTTGGTGTCCTTGCAAGACTCCACACATAGCACCTGGCCACAGTTTCGAGGCTTGTCACTGGCATCTTGGTTTTGCATAGTATACATGTCCACTATAGCTTGTTTCCTAGGTTGACATGGATGGCCTAGTCATTATGTTAGCCGGCCCTGAATGTCTCTTTGTTAGTGCGACGTACCTTCTTGTTGGTGTATGCCTCGAGTCCAGCCTCTCCCAGCTCTCGGCCGATACCAGACTGCTTCACACCTCCGAATGGGATGCGAATGTCAGAATCGTTGCTTGAATTGATCCAGACCATACCCGCTTCAATCCGCCTAGCAACACGATGAGCCTTGGTGATGTTCTCAGTGAAGACTGCTGCGCCAAGACCATACGTCGTGTCGTTAGCACGCTCAATCGCCTCGTCTTCCTCCTTGAACGAACTGATGACGACGAACGGACCAAACACTTCTTCGCGGTAGATCTTCATGTTGTCCTTGACATTAGTAAAGATAGTAGGCGAGACGAAGAAGCCCTTGCCGCCAACGTTCTTGTACGCTTCTCCGCCGGCTACAAGAGTGGCGCCCTCTGACTTGCCAGACTCAATGTATGACAAAACGCGGTCGAACTGCGTCTTGGTAACCTGAGGTCCCTGGAATGTGTCGTCTTTGAAGGGGTCGCCAACCACAGAGGTGGTCTTGACGTGCTCCTTGAAAGCTTCAACGAATTTATCATAGATGCCTTCTTGCACAAGAATTCTTGAAGTCGCCGTGCAAACCTGGCCTTGGTTGTACCTCCACAGTGTCAGCTTAGCTTATTGGAAAAAAAGGAGATGACCTACATGATACCGACGTGACTCCATTTGACTGCTTGATCAAGATCCGCATCGTCAAACACTACTAGTGGCGATTTGCCACCCGTTTCAAGTGTGATGTTCTTCATGTTGACAGCTGCCATCTTCATGATCTCCTTTCCTGTAGCGGTGGATCCAGTAAAGGCAATCTTGTCGACGTCGAGATGCTGGGCCAAAGCGGCACCAGCCTTCCTTCCTTCACCGTTGATAAAGTTGATAACGCCAGGAGGGAAGCCTGCTTCCTTGACCAAGTTTCCAAGATACAGAATAGAAAGGGGTGTTTGTTCGGCGGCCTTCAAGACCACTGTGTTGCCGGTGCAGAGAGCAGGTCCCAACTTCCATGCCGCCATTGCAAGAGGGAAGTTCCATCTGGCCGTGATCAGCAGGGCATATTTTCGACATGGATGATTACATACGGGATGATCTGGCCACAGACACCAAGTGGCTCACGGACTGTGTACGCCAGCTTGGCAGGTGAGGTGTCAATGACTGTGCCGTGAATCTTGTTGGCGTATCCTGCGTAGTACTTGATAGTACCGACAACTTCGCCCAAGTCGTCATTCAGTGAGACGGAGTAAGGCTTGCCGTTATCCCAGGTTTCAATTGTCGCTAGCGTTTCCTTATGTTCCTCGATCAACTGGGCAAACTTATAGAGAAGGTCAGCTCGCGCGTTAGTGTCCATGTCTCGCCAGTCTGGGTTCTTGAAGGCTTTCCGTGCAGCTGCCACGGCATCGTCAACATCTTCGGGCCCAGCCGCATATACAGATACAATATCGCTCTCATCACTACCAAATGTCAACCACTTTCAAGGAAGAAAACGGACAGGCATACCTCGGGTTTATGGAAGTGATGGTTTCACCTGACTTGGACTTGACGAATTCATTGTTGATGAAAAGACCTCTTGGCTGCTGGTACTTGCGACCATTGGGCGCAGTCAGCTCAACGAAGAGGTCAGACATGTTGCTTTGGGTGCTGTAGTATTTCCACAAAGGACGGCAACTACTTGTGGGAGCTCTGCGTATTGAGGGTTTGAAAGGAGGAGATGGTTTGGAGCGAAGTGAGGCGCGTGTGAGGGCGGAGAAGAGACGGGACATGTCCTTGGCTGGCGAGGAGACAGCTCGCTATCTATAGGCTGCAGACATGTAAGATGCTGATGACGACCGCGGGGACAATGGTAGCTTCGATTGATAGTGTGGACCCCGCGTGTGCCCGCCAAATGCCCATAGCTAGCTAGCTTATCCGCATGCAACTGCCTGTTCCGAATGTTGCAACTCCACCTTGTACACGCCTATCGACAGCATCGCGGCGGTTTGAATTACTCATCACGCAAGACTAGAGACGCGACATGCCTGCCCATCGCGGAAGGTTGAGGGGCAGGCGCCATCATGTGAGCAGGCGTAGCGGACAGTCGCGACGCGTCGGCGTCAACAGTCGGCTACAACCAGCCCTGTAGCTACCCCACCCCACCACGATGAGAAGCTCGACGCGCGCATCCAACAACTTCTTATTCCCGCCCTGCGCAAATTGACGTCTTTGGCTGCCACGCACCGGCCCAAACTCAAGTTCGTCACACAATGTCGCGAGACGCTCGCACCGAGACTCGTCCCCACAAACAAGCACACTTACTCAAACTTCCGCAGATTCTCTCCAAACTCCCTCTCGCCCTTTCAGACCCCACAATGGACTTGGCCGAAGAGCCGCCCCTGGTGACTCCCGACGCAGAACGCCCCGATGCCTCGATAGACGTTGCCCACTCGCTCGAATACTGGAACAGCGTCTCGCCAGACGTCAATGGCATGCTGGGCGGCTTTCCTCAAACCTCGCGCATCGACCTGCAGGGTTCTTCCAACTTCCTGACCAAATTGCGCCGTGGCAAATCCCAGGCCTCAAAAGAACCCCTGCAGCCTCTGGAACGTGTAGCAGACTGCGGTGCGGGTATCGGACGAATAACAAAGGGCCTGCTGCTGGGTGTGAGCAACAAGGTGGACATAGTAGAGCCGGTGAAGAAGTTCACAGACGAGTTGGTGCAGAGCCTCGGAAACGGAGAATACGCCGGTGACGGAGAGAGCAAAGATGGAAAGGGTCAGGTGGGCGAGGTCATAAACCTAGGCTTGCAGGACTGGATACCTGAACCCGGCGCGTACGACGTGATTTGGAACCAGTGGTGTGTGGGACACTTGACTGACGCCCAACTCGTTGTCTACCTACGCCGTTGTAGCGAGGGCTTGAAAAAGGCGGCCCAAGGAGATGCGACAAGCAAGAGCTGGGTCGTAGTCAAGGAGAACATGTCTACCGACATCCACCACAAGGACATCTACGACGATGAGGACTCGAGCGTCACGCGGTCAGACAAAAAGTTCAGAGCCTTGTTCCAAGAGGCGGGGCTGAAGATTGTAGCAACGGAGCAACAAAGAGGAATGCCCAGGGAACTATTCCCCGTTAGGATGTACGCACTCAAACCCGAGTAAGTGCATAGGCAGTTCTGCTGTTAGTGAGTTAGGGTGTCAGGCGCAGGAACTATGATACCCCAGAAGACTTTAGATGAATCGACTCAATTACCATGCTTGCATAAACCTCAGTCGTGTGATATCAGAACTGCTCCAACCCTCATCTAGACCTCACCGATTTCCGAGAACTTGTGCGCAAACCCAAGCGAAAGCACCGGTACACCATCCACCGGCTCATGTACCGGCAGCTTCCCTACTGTAACCTTTTTCTTCACCACCTTCGCTTTT